AACCGCCTGCGTCACTTCATCAACGACACCATCCTGGACGTGTTCTTCTACAACAGCTCCACCTATTGCCAGACCATCGTGGACACGGTGGCCTCGGAGATGAACCGCCTGCACCAGCTCTTCCTGCAGAGGAACCCGCAGTTCAAGGGCGGGGTGTCCATCGCGGGGCACAGCCTGGGTGAGGCTCCTGGCAGCATCAGCGTGCCAGGGCAGCTGGGAGGGCTCTCAATGCTCTGGGTTGGAAGGGACACCTTCCCCTAGGCCAGGCTGCTCCAAGCCCTGTCCCAGCTTCCAGGGGTGCAGCAGCCACTGCTTCTCTGGGCAGCCTGTGCCTGTGCTTCACCACTGAGTAAATCATTTCTTCCTGGCATCTAATCCAGCCTGTCCTGTGTCAGTTTAAAGCCAATTTCCCTTGTCCTGTCACTGTCTGCCTGTAAAAAGTCCAGGGTGCAGCTCTTCCATCCCAAGGAGGAGCTGGCTCGGGCTCTTCCCCTCCAGGTGCTGATGCTCTGCCCATGCCTGGTTTTAGGGTCACTCATTTTGTTTGATCTCCTGACAAACCAGAAAGCTGATCCCGAGGAGGACGAGCACTGTGCACAGGTATGGGAGGCCACTCACCCATCCCTCCTGCAGCTGCGTGAGGATGGAGGAGAGAACTCAACATGCACAGGAGCAAACTGGTGAGCAGAAAGCATGATCCCTTCTGGATCTGTTCACAGGTGTCCAGGACAACCTCAAGCATGGGGGGTATTGAGGAAGTAAAAGAAATCCTGAAGAAGCTGGAGCTGCCTGAGTATTGTGATGTTTTTGAGAAGGAGAAAATGGACAGGCAAGCACTGGTGAGAAGTGCCCCTGTTTACCTGGCTCTTGTGGTTCTTCTTTGCTTTTCTTCCCCATCATTCCACCACTACACATCTTCTGGTACTGAGTCACACATGAAACATCTCTGAGGAAGAACACAGTCTCACCAGGAACAAACACCACACCTCTGCTCCTGGACTAACACCGGCCTTGCTTATTTTCCAGTTCTTGTGCACAGAGAAAAACCTTAAAGAAATGGGAATTCCCCTAGGGCCAAGAATGAAAATACTCCATTACATCAGCTCCAAGAGAGAGACGAAGGTTTGTTTTCTGCATGGCTTGTGCTCATGCCATCACATCCCATCCCATTCCATCCCTCTGACACAAGGACCCCTTTGTGCTGCTGCAGGATCAGAGCTCAGCAGCTCCCGGGCACAGTGAGCGTGGAGCAGAGCCAGGGTCCCTGTCCCAGCACGGGGACAGCTCAGAGGATGTCAGGAACTGCCAGTACAGGGATGTTGGCTTGGGACAGGTAACAGCTGAGCTCTGGCTGCACCCACAAAGCTCTCGTGACACCAGCACGGAGTTTGTCTCATGAACAACCCTGAACCCCTCTCCCAGGTCTCAGCAAACTATCCCCAGCTGAACTACAAGCCCAGCATCTTCTTTGCCTTTGGCTCTCCCATTGGGATGTTCCTCACCGTGCGAGGAGTGAAGCGCATCGACCCCAACTACAGCCTGCCCACCTGCAAGGGCTTCTTCAACATCTTCCACCCCGTAGGTATCAGAGCCAGAGCTGTCCTGTGTGAGGCACGTGGAGCACGAGCCCTGGCCACTGTCCCCCTCTTGTGTGCAGTTTGACCCCGTGGCGTATCGGATCGAGCCCATGATCGTCCCGGAGCTGGAGTTCGAGCCCATGCTGCTGCCCCACCACAAGGGCAGGAAGAGGATGCACCTTGGTATGGCACAGGCAGCCCCTGCCCCCCGGCCCAGGGCTGCTGCTGCAGCCCCCAGCCCCACAGCCACCCCCCTCCTGCCTTGCAGAACTGAAGGAGGGGCTGACTCGCATGAGCGTGGACCTGAAGAACAACCTGCTGGGCTCGCTGCGGGTGGCCTGGCAGTCCTTCACCCGTGCCCCAGTGCCAGCCCTGGAGGCAGGGAGCACTGAGGCTGAAGCAGAGACGGAGGCTGGCACTGAGAAACAGCCAGGTGGGTACTGGGATGTGTGGGGCAGGGGAGAGCCAGGGATGGAGCCTTGGGAGCTGCCTGTGCAGCCTGGGCTCCCACAGCCACAGTGCCCAGCAAAGGGATCACTTTGGGCTCTGGAGGCACCTGGCTCTCCCCAAAGGCTGTGGCCTTCCCTGTTAGCCCCTGATGAAGGGTTTTTCTGGGGGGTTTCAGCACAGCACACCACACCACACCACGTTTCAAACCTGTCCCCTGCACTGCTGTTTCTGAGCACTTCAGCTGCCTCTGCCCTGTGGGAGCTGCAGAGGGGTCAAGGGAGGGCAGGGCCCTGCTCTTGTGTTGTCATGGCTGCTGGTGCCCTGTGGCTGAGCCACGCTGCTCTTCCTTGCTCCAGACACAAAGCCAGAGGAGCCCCCAGCAGCAGTGAAGGAAGAGACGCCCCCGATCAACGTGGGGAGGCTGAACGGAGGGAACCGCATCGACTACGTGCTGCAGGAGAAGCCAATCGAGAGCTTCAATGAGTATTTGTTTGCACTCCAGGGGCATCTCTGCTACTGGTAAGTGTCTGTGAAATGCTCAGGGCTTCACATTTACCTGTGGTGGAGGCAGAATGGCATCAGTTTCAAAGCCAGCATAGTAAGAAAAGCCTCAGCTGATCACGGGAACAAGATCTTCTCCTGTCTGTGACACACACAGGGTGGGCACAGACAAAGGAAGGACTTGTGGTGCAGCATCTGCATCTACCCCAGCCATCACACATGTCCTGACAGAGTGCAGGGAATTCCCTTCTGATTGCCATGTCCTCCTCCTGCAGGGAGTCAGAGGACACGGTTCTGCTGGTTCTGAAGGAGATCTACCAGACTCAAGGCATCACACTGGATCAACCTTTACCAGGAAGCCAGTGACCAACCTGTGCTGTTCTGGCTGTAAGTCACCTTTCCTAAACCCCTTCTGAATTTCCTAGGGCACCTCAAAGGAGACCTGGTTTATTTGAGGGAGTAATATCCATTATCTAAGGCAGGGAACTTGTGTCAGCTTTCTTCTTTGGCTTGTCAGAACCTTTGCCTGTGGTCTCCTTTTGCTTTCTTAGGTCAAATCCCACTGAGTACTCACCAGGAAAGTCCAGATCTCTTCTCTGCCTTCCTCTCTCCTCTGCTGCTGTGTCCTGCATGCTGCTTCCCAAGTACTTGCTGCTGCCTGGAGATAAGGATGGATTTTCCTTCGTTTTGGGTCTGGGTAGGGGGAAAAACTGTCAAGGGAAAACCACTTCTGCTCAAGCACACACAACACCTGTACAGTGACTCCCTGTGGCAACGTTTACTTTTCACCCTGCACCCTGTGAGTCCCCACAGCAGCTCCTCCAGCCCTGCAGCACAGGCTCAGAACGGTGTCCCTGGGGAGGGGACCCTGAGGAGAAAAAGCCTTAAACAAACAGCATGGAAAGAGCTGCAGCAGCCCTGGGGCAGGGCAGGTTCTGACTGCTAACACCAACACCCACAGCAGCACTGCAGGCCCGGGAGGCAAAGCCCAGGGCACAGGCTGAGCCAGCAGGGCCCGTGCAGCAGCCACACTCATCCCTGCACTGCTGCTGCACGTTTGTGCAGCCCTGGCCGTGCCAGGCAGGGCTGCCCTGTGAAGAGAGCAGCATGTGTGTGCTCCTCCCTGCTGTGGTGTGCTGGCAGTGACAGCCCAGCTCCCTCACCCAGCCCACGCTGGCAAACCAAGGCTCTCCCCAGTGCGAGTGCCCTGCTGTACCTGCTCCGAGGAAAGCTTCACCTCCAGCCCCAGCCCAGCCTGGGGAGCAGCAGCTGCTCCTGGCAGTGTCAGGGCGGCCTGAGCCCTCTGTGCCCTGCAGGACACGGAGCTGTCAGCTGAGGATGGAGATCCAGTCCTTGTTTTTAGCTTTAAATGTTCACAACGCAGCCAGCAAAGGTGCAGCCCAGATCCAGCAGAGTCTGGACACTGCAGGAATGACACCAGCTCTGTAGGCAGCTCAGTCTGCACCTGCCTTGAAGATCTTTTCTGAGGGGGACAGGGCTGGAGAGCCTCTGTGATCCTTCCCTGGCCACCAAAGCCCCTGGGCTGTGCTCAGTGCTGTGTGAGGTGTTGCTGTGCAGCCTCTGGAAGAGCCAAACCACTTTTCCCTCCTGCTGACTTTTGCCCTGCATGGGGTAAGGAGCCTTTTCCCCCCACAGCCTGTTGGTTTGTTTTTCCTCCATTGTCTGTTATTTGCACTACTGGAAGGGTTTTGTTTGCAGCCTCCATCCCTCCTCCCCTCCCAAGGAACAGAAGCTGTTCTTTACCTGACTGCAGGAACAGCCAAGCTGCTCAGTCAGCACCTGAACTACTGCTGGCTAAGGTCTCATGGGAGTAGGAAAAGGGACAGTCTTAACATGGGACACTAATGATCAGCTTTTTAAGTTATGCACTTTGTTAAAAAAAAAAAGTTAAATACATTTTAAATGTTATTTAATGTCTTTTCCAGTAAAAGCCAAAATAAATAAGTAGATGACTGTGGTGTGTGCATGTCTGGGGAGAGAGGAAAGGTTGAAAAATTCATATGTGCAGTTTTAGGGGAAAGTGAAGCTATTTCTATAATTGTATTGAAGCTACAGAGGTATAGAGGGCCCAAACTGCAGCTGATGGGGTTTCATTACTGACTCACCTGCCTTGCTGTGCTGCAGCCTCACCTGTGCTGTTTGCATCTACTACACCTGTCTTTGAGGGGACCAGTGACCAACAAGTGCTCACAGAGCCCCTGCCAGGTAGCTGGCCCTGGATCTGCCCTTGGAGAGACAGACCATGGGCAGGGAAACGAGCACCTCTGCAGGGATCTCACACAGGTGCAGGGATGCTCTCAGACACCATTTCATTTTCTGCTGTCATCTCCTCAAAACTATACTAAAGCTGCAAGGAAAGAGCACCCACCAGAAGCCCCTGCAGACACCAGAGGAAACAGGTTATAAAGCAACAACCCTAGCCTTGAAATGAAGTTTTAGTACCACAGCTCATTACAAAAATTAAACTCCTTTATTTGGGAAGTTAGAAAAACTCAATGGCAGGTCCTGAACTTCATTTCCCAGGAGAAGGGCTGGGACAGCTTGGCTGGATTGCAGGGAAGTGACCAATGGTGCTCCTGGACTGGACACAAGAACTCCCACCAGACTGGGCACACTGGGTTGTCACATTTTCCCAGTTCTTGTTCAGGACCTTCACACCCCAAGTGTCTTTGCACAGGCTGGCACCTCGAGTGCCTCCCTCGCTGCACAGTGGGCCTGAAGAGGGGCTGGCCTACAAAATCCAAGGAAATGAAGCAACACAAGGGCCGGGGCAGGGAACTCACCAGCTCAGCAGGGAACACCTGCCCAGGGGCTCCTCCTCGTGGGAGCATTCTCCTGAGCAGCCTCCCCCAGCCTTGCCCTGCCCCATCACTAAATGCTCATGTGGAAGCTGGGAGCTGGAGGCTTCTCCTCGTGCACCGGCAGCGCCTTGGGCTTGGCCAGGGATGGTTTGTGGCACGTGGTGTCTGTCAGGGGAGGGTAGTACTGCCTGTAGCACAGGTATGCCAGCACCAAGCCCATCACTGAGCCAACCAACACATCTGTGGGCGAGAGCAGAGCACAGTTAATGCCCTTCAGCCTCAATCAATTCCTCAGCAGCAGCTTTTCTGCTAGATCCACAACCTGACTTGGCTATAAACACAAGCCTGGTTTGTATCCCAAAACCACACAGAAAGGCATCACTTCCCTGCAGGTGGCACCAAAACTGCCCCTGGAGTAGTACAAAAAAAACCCCCCAAGTCCCTGCTAGGGGCTCTGAATATTTGTGTGGCACCACAGCCCCCTGTGCCTGCTGAGCCCTGTCCAGGTGCACAGAGACGCTCACCCACCTTCCCAGTGGTGCTTGTAGTCACAGGTGCGGGACACGGCGATGAGGGTGGCCAGGAAGAGGGGGAGGAGGAAGGCACAGAAGCGCAGGGCCCGGCTCCCCCGGCCTGGAACGAAGCTGTGCAGCTTCCCTGCCAGGTAGAAGGCAGAGAAGGCAAGACCAGCAAAGGCAACTGGAAAAGAACAGAAGAGTGCTGGTTCAGAACAGCTCCAGGCTTTGCTGCCAGACCCTCACCCTCTGCTGCTGCAGTGGCAGGGCTGTGAGAGGTGTCTGCCTGTCCCTGAGCCAAGGGAAGCACCAGCTGGGACTGATGGATCCTAGAAGCTGGTACCTGGCACACATCCCTCCTTCCAGGGTTACAGACAGCTTTGCACCACATTTCTCACCCCATTGCTTTGCAGAGGGAAACCTGAGTCCCCCGAACACGTCAACAAATGCAAAATACAAATGCAAAGCTGTGGGGTGCAGGAAAGCAAATGCCAGCTGCCCTCCCCTCTGCTCCCCAGAGCCCAGGCTGCAGCAGGAAGGAGCCGGGGAGAACTCACAGGAAGCGTGGCCGCTGGGGAAGCTCTTCCTGCCCTCGGTCACTCTGCGGGCATCTCCCGTGCACAGCAGCTCCGAGTTGGCTCGGCCGTCGGGGAAGCAGCGGAAGAAGAAGTCAGGCCGTGGCCTGGGACAGGGAACCGAAGCTCAGGGCTCAGGCTGGGCACTCCCGGGAGCTGCCCCTGCCAACCCCATCCTCCCTAAATGAGCCTATCTGAATGATGGCCTGAGACAGCAGCTCCCCAGTGTTTTTTCTAATCCTAAATTGTCTTTACAGCTAGAAAAAAAACACATTCCTTTCCAGGCTGAGCGTGTCCAAGTTCAGCTGCTGGCCTTGATCTGGCTGTTGCAGAGCTGCCTCCCCCGCCCTCCCCACGGTGCAGCTGGGACCCAGCCAGTCCTCACCTCCCCACGACGAGCTTCAGGGCGTTTGTGAAAACCCCGTTCAGGGCAAGGGCAAGGCTGGCAGCTGAGAGAGAGCACAAGGGTCACATCAGCACCATCCCCTCCTGAAAGTGCAGCACATCCAGGCACGGGCAGGCTCGAGCTGCCTCTCTCTGGGACAAGGAGGAGCTCACCAAGGCAGGCTTCCCTCGTGTCCTCGTGGTCAGCACCCATGAACAGCCTCGCCAGGATGATGAGCACCAAGGGAGACAGAAATGCGATGAACTGCACAAAACAGGGAGAATTTCAGGTGTCAGTGCAGCAGGTTTAAGTTCTCACCAGCACACAAGAGCAGTTACTCAAGAAGACTCCGAGTACACTTTCCTTTCCCAGAGCCAAGCAGCAATCTGTCCTCTGCAGTCCCTGCAGCTCCATCAGAACACAATCCCCCACCAGCTGCACTCGCAGCAGGCCCTGGTCAGCCCAGCCCATGCTGCTCTGGCTGGTTTGGGGGTGTCCCCAGGCACACCACCTCAGCTCTCCCCTCCCTGCAAGCCCCAGCATTAGCTCTGTCAGCAGCAGCCGTGCTCTGTCAGCAAAAGCACAGGAGCTGCTGATTCAGAGCAACCAGTTCTCATCATCCCCATCTCAGCCCGGGGGCATTTCACCCCGGGACATCCTCACCATGGCTCCCACCCAGTCTGTGCCCACCTGAACTCTGGCCCGTGTGGTGCTTTACACTGCCTGTTCCAAATGCTATCCCGAGCTTTTGTCCTTCATGTTCCTCTTGCAGAAAATCCCACGTGCCATTTGCCAACTCAAGAGCCACAGCCCCTCACCTCACACCGGTGACAGAGGGACCAATCCCTCTGACACACTGCTCTCCTCAGGAAATCCAACACAGAGTTAGTCAAACTCTTCTAAGCAAGCCTGCAGCCCTCGAGGAAAACATTTGACAATAAAATGATAATAAATCTCTGCTAAAAATAGCTGCTTACAAGGAAAACATTCCCTGATAGCGAGTGCTGCGCTGTCTTCTACGCACCCAGTAATTTAGACGTGGAATGGATTATGGACAGCAGTGCAAAGTCCTCATTAGTTCATGAACCTCAAATCCCAAAGGCAACTCTGGACAGTAAAGCTTCAAAACATAAAAATATGTTCAGCCTAATTGGTTCTATTCTCACAGGATGGGTAGAAAGGACCACTGGGACCATCAGGTCCATCCTCTCTGCTCGGGGTCTCAGAGCACATCACCCAGGACTGTGTCCACATGGATTATGAGCATCTCCAGGTGAGGAGACTCCCACTACAGTCTGGGCAGTCACTGCCCAGTCACCCACACAGCCAAGTCCTTCCTCGTGTTCAGGTGGAAATGTCCACGTTCCAGCTGGTGCCCCGTGGAGCAGAGCCCGGCTCCATCCTCACAGCCTCTCCCTTCCCTATTTATCCACATGGATACGATATCCTGCACTTTCTGCAACGTGCACTAGGAGCTGCAGGTATTGCAGGACAGGCCTTTAGCCAGCAGCTTTGCTTTAAAAGGAGAGCTTGTAATTTGAGAATAAATCAAAGCAAATGCAGGAAACACTGGCAGAGGCTGCCCAGAGAAGCTGTGGATGCCCCGTGCCCGGAACTGTGCGCAGACAGAGCACAGACAGTGCGGGGCTCGGTCCGGTGGAAGGGAGGGACGAAAGGATCTTTTAAGGTCCCTTCCGAGCCAAACCACGGACCCACCGAACTTACAAACATGAGCACTGTGGGAACACGGTCCGCTTCCACGTAGGGGTTTTTGTAGAGCCACATCTCCTCGGGCTGCAGCACGCGCTGGAAGGGCGGCAGGAATTCCATGATCCTGGAACGAGACAAGCACATGAGCCCGGAGCGGGCGGGGACGGCTCCGGGCGGGGGTCCCGCACCCACCCGAAGGTGGCGAGGAGCAGCACCCGCAGCCCGGCCTCGCCCGCCAGCTCCGCTCGCCGCATGGCCACTGCTCGCCCGCCGGGGCGGGGCGGGGAGAGCGCAGTCCTGCCCGGAGGAGGGACCGCAGCCCCGTTATCCTCCTCCCGTTATCCTCCCGTTATCCTCCCGCCCCGCCCCGACACGGAACTGACTCATCTCAGCATTGGAACATTCAGAACGATTTATTGAAGTCAACCTCAAGCAAAAAATTTCAGATCAGTGGAATGTCATTAAAAACCTTTCCAAAGGAATCCTCACGGAAAAGCAAAAGGGAAAAAAAAAAAAAAAAAAGAAAACAAAAGGAAAACAAACTAAAAAAACAAACCAAAGCCCCAAAAAAACCACATCAGAATTCCAGAGTATTTGTAGAATAAAATAAAAAAAGGCAACATCTCAGTAAATAGAATGTACAAAAATTATATGTTCTACCATCACACACAGTCAGTAAGAAGCTAAAATATTACAGGCAAGTCTCGATACGCTCTACCTAGAGGACAGGAGCTATCTATGTACAGGGAACCAGCTTTACAGGCTTCACACTATGCAAGAGGACAGAGGCCAACACAAACCCCCCAAAATATTGGATATCTCAAAGTCTATGCGGCAACATCAAGTCATGATACAGTAATGCCCCGTGGAATCAGACACTCCTCGGCAGTGTCAGGGCTGCATCTGCGTCCAGAATCTCTTCCATACCACTTGGGTGAATATCGATGCTTTGCTATTAAAGACTCGAGTGATTTCCTTAAAATAACATTTCACAGAATCTACAAAGTTTGTTACAGATAAACAAAGTCTACAGAAATAACGACTCTACAAAGGTCCATCTTACAGAGCACGTGGGGATGGAGACGGATCCGCAGGGATCTGTGTTGTGCAACATCACTCGTGGAGACAAACGGGTCGGGGTCCTCAGAGCACCCCAAATGTCAACCCCAACCCCGGCTCAAACGGGACAGGATCAGCCCGGGGGCTGCAGCTTGTTGGGACAGGAAAAGTGACACCAGCAATGAGAGACAGATCACTGGAACAGGGAGCAGGGGTTCATCCAGTCTGGCTATGGCCCAGAAGAGAGACACAACTGCAAGGGGGGCTCCCAGGGACCCAGAGAGCCGGGACCCCACAGAGCCGGGATCTCCGGGGGGACCCCACAGAGCCGGGATCTCCGGAGGGACCCCTGCCCCTGGAGCTGGTGGTGGCACAGGGAGGGCACAGCCCCGGGCCACAGGGAGCGGTAAATGGCTTTGGCAAATTCATACGTGTTTTCCCTTTTTTATTCACATTAATCACAGAAATCCCCTACACAAAGCACAGTCCCAGCTCCCTACCTCCTGCTCTGGAGCACAGGGGAACACAGACCTGAGCTGCTCACTCAGAAATGCAGTTTCACAGGGAACGGCTTTTCTTTTCTTCCTGTTTTGCCTTTTTTTTCCCCTCCTTTTTCCTTCAGAACAACACTGGGAATACATCCAACGTGTAGGAGTGTATGGTAAGTGCAAATGTTTTTGCTACACAAAGAGAAATGGCGGGGAAAGCTGATGGCAATGGGAAGGGACAGCACTGCTCCAAGGTCGCCGTCTCCCACACAACACCCGGTGAACACAGAGCTCCGAGCCTGCTGCTCCAAACCCTCCCGTTTGCCACGGATCCACTGTACAGCGGGAGCAGGAGGGAACTTGAGGGAAGTCAAGGACATTTTTAATGCATTATACAAAAAAAATTCATGTATAAATAAAAAAAGCTGTAAAAGGAACCGCAGAGCTTCAAGTACATTAAACCCTGAATTCAATGAGGCAGAGGTTTCCATGTTAAAGTGACTTCTCCGTACCAGAGTCGGACACCCCATCCCACCCTCCCCACCCACATAATTCTGTCAAGTTTCAATATATACAGATTTTATGCTCATTGATAATTATGTCTAGTAATTGTGTCTTTCCCATTCTATCTTGAAATTAAGATAAAAGAAGGGCTTTTTTTAAAAGAAAGGCCAAAAATCCACATTCCAGCCCTATTACTCCATTTGAACTGATTCTCCAAGACCATGTGGTGACCAGAGAAGGTGATTTGCCCACAAATTTTCCTTCCTGAGCTGCAAACGCCTTCAACAGTCTATGGACAGGACAAGTCTATACAATAATCTGACAGCTACAACAGCTAATGCTTGCACCATGTGTTCAGGAATGGTGGAACCAGCCTTGCAGCTCTGGGATCACAGCATCCTGGAATTCTTACTCCTGGATTCACCTGGCCACGGGCTGCAGGATGCCTGCACTGTGCCCAGGGGCAGCTGCAGAGGAAAAGCTCCAGTAAACCACAAACCCTGCTCCTGGGCAGGGCAGGGAGGTCACCAGAAGTGTGAGGCCACCCCAAAAATTTAACACAAAAGGGAAGGAAAAACACACCAGTGTGTTCCCATGAAGGAACAGGTCCCACCAAAATCACCAGTTCTGTGGATTTCCTCTAGGTCTCAGCATGAAATGACCCAACTATCCAAGATTCCTTATTTTGGAGCCCACACAAATTAATTCAGCAGCTGCCTCCCACTCTGCTGAAGCCAATCCATCAGAACAGCTGTGCAATCTTTTCCTTACAAAGGAGCTGCACTAAGCAAACTACATTCTGGTTACTCAGTTTACAAAGACATGGTTAAAATGTGCATTTTAACATCTGAGTCTGGCACTCAGAACAGCCCCTGCAGTCACCAAGATCATCTGAACTGGCCCTTTCTTATCTAACAATGTTAAAGCTCTTTCAAAGACTCACCTTCAGTTCAGAGTTTTGTTCACAAACTGAACAACCTCTCTGGTTTTCCCTTCTGAGTCCAAACCCAGCTGCTGGCTGCTATGGATGATTTTTTGGTGGAAAAAAGAAGCCTCTCTAAGAAGTCTGAACACAAAGTGAGCCAAGACATCGAGTGGCACAGGAGGAGCAGCAGCCTCCATCACAGCATTTGAGAAGTTTTAAGCCTTCTGTGCCCTGGCCAAGGTGGCCACTGACAGTCTGTGGCTCCCAAGGTGTCCTGGTGCTGCCACACCACATCCCTGTGCTCAGCAGGTCACCATGGACATGGAAAGAATGGAGCAGGTCAGTGCACTCACACAGCAGCACGATACCAGCAACATATCTGATATATATAGAATATATCAGCTGATATCTGCAGTATCAGAATGCTCTGACTTCAGAGAAAAATCACTGAACATTATCAAGCCTAATAAATAATATAAAGTGAACACCTCAAGCCCTACAGATGTGGTAGCAAGAGCTGTGTTTGGAATTTCTGAGAAGGTTAAACATCATTAATAAGAGCTTAAAAAGAGACATTTCTCACACAAAACGTTAAGAAAAATAAAATCCTTTTTGTAATTTTTTTTCCTTTAAAAATACCAAAATCCAGCACTGCTTTCCAGCAGGGTTAGTGTTGGACCCTCATTGGAGTGTGGCCCACAGCAGGAAGTGCTTTAGGGATCCCAAGAGCTGCTGGCCCAGACACTTCTGGGTTCTGTCACCCCAAGGCAGGCGTGGGCAGCTGCTCAGGGGCTGTAGTGTATCTATCACTCTACCATGCACACACAAAAACTCCCCCTGTCCATCAGCTTGAGGATGAGAAGGACACCAGGCAGGGACAAGACATGTTCTAAATTCCACACAGACTTTTCCAGCCTATTTTCTTCATCTGAGAAGTCTCCGTGCTCCCACAGGTTTGTGTAAGCAGTTTTCCAGAGACAAGGATCTTAATTCCAAGGCTCAGTTCAGCCAGATGCCAGCAACACTTGATTATTTTCAGCACCCACGAGCAAAGGCTGGCAGGGAGTAGCTGCTATCAGTACACGAGTCAGAATACTCACTGTGCCAGGGCAGGGGGGAGACAGTGCTTGGTGAGATCGTGGGCTGGGGGGGGGGAAGTCAACAAAACCAGCTCCAGTGCCCCCCTTGCACAAAAAAATGGAGGAATATAAGTTTTCTAAAAAAAATTCTGGAGCAAGAGCCAACACAAGCCATTTGGAAAGCCTCAGTGGAGGAGTCTGTCTCTCTGATTAACAGAGGAAATCCAAGACAGAACAAGCTCCTGAGGCATCGGCTGGCTGCTGGGATGTGGCCCCTTACCCAGACACAAAATACCCTGTTCATTGAGGAAGTGCTGAGATGTTCCTCAGCTCCATTAACAATGAAGATAAAGTTAGAAGATCTCTCTCAACAAAAAAAAAATCTTAATTCCATCGAAACCAACGTGCACATGGGTCAGGTCCCTCACGTGCCCAAGTCTCCCTGAAGCCAAGGGGACTGAGAAGGCAGGACTGAAGAATCACACTCAGGAACTGCCACCAAAGCAGGGCACATGTGGCAGATGATGAACCCACCCAGGACTGACTGAGGGTGGGAGCCTCTCCTGCCTGGGAGGGGTTTCCAAAAGAGGTGGCATAAAGAAATGACCACTGTGCAATTAAACTCTGAATTTTTCCATCTGTCTGCAAACAGCCAAGACAGCTCTGGAGCAAGGAACCCCCATTTCTTCCCCACTGCCAGACCTTGTGTTATGAGCACTTCCCAGAAGTCACACACCTGATTTCTCACAGGAAAAGCTTCACAATAATATTCATAAGTAAACATGAGAGACAACCTACCTTCTCCAATGCCTTTAACAATAAGTACTGGAACAGAGGCATTTCAGAGTCACCTGGTCTGACACCCACACCTGTCTGTTTGGCATCTCAGTGTTACAGAGGGGACAGGCTTTGCTCTTTCCATAAACTAGACACAAAAGTTACGTTGGCTTCGCTGTTTTGTTTTTAAAGACACGATGACTGATCAAAGCCAGATCTTCAACACCCTTTCAAAATTAAATAAATAAATATGTGGCTATGCTTTGCTTTCTACACTCAAAGAACATTATTTTAAACAGAATATTCTTTTCACTGTCAAAAGGTTTACGGTTTTCTTCAAAGGCCAAGACGCTCCTGGTTTCCAACAGTAAGAGCTGCTGTAGCACATTCAAGGGTAAAAGAAAGACCAAACAATAAAAAGCAAACACCAGTGCCTGGTCCTCCTCGCTCAATGGTCCCGTTCCAGCTCACACGTGACGGCCCCGAGGACAAAGCCGAGTGTGGCATGGCAATCTCTGAGTTCATCGCCTGCTGCCCCTCTTCTCCCCTCCCGTGTTTGTCTTTAACCAAATTCACTCCTTTGCCTCTTCCACAGCGTTCTGTGCTTCCAATTTGCACTTGATCTTGCTCCAGTACTCGGGTGCCACAGGAGATTTGGGGTCGTGTGCGGAGCAGCAGAGGCGGCCGTCCAGCGCCGACGGCACCAGGGCTCCCTTCTCGTGATCCTTGCAGAAGGAATGGGGGCAAAACTCACAGAAGGACACGGCAGGATTGCTACAGATGTCACACTGATGCCATGGACATTCCCACTTTCCTGAGGATGGCAGGAGAGAGAGAAAGGAAGCTGGAATTAGTGCACTTTGGAGACAGCACTCCGTGCTGGACTGCTCAGATGAATGCAAGTAAAGTTCAGAAAAATCAGTTGCTACTTCTGCTTCTCATCTGAGATTCTACAAGAATCTGAGTGAATACAGTTCTGTTTTACATTTTCTTAGGCCTCTCTTGGCCCAGAACATTACTACATGCACAACCAGACCTTAAAACAGTCAGATCTACCCCCTTAGGCATCAAGGCACTGCATGTCCTTGCAAGACAGAGTTTGTTTTGTACTTTTTCCTGATTTGTGAGCACCTCACATTGCCCTGGACACCGTGCTCCTCACAGGGTACCTCCAAAGGAAGCTTTAGGTCAGCCCTACACATTCTGCTGGTTTTGTCAGTGTTTGAACTGTCATTTGTTTGTGCCAGGACACCAAGATGATGCTCATATTTCAGTCAAAATAAGATGAAGTTTGATTTAAGAAGAGGAACAAGAACAACAAAAAAAAGTATGACAAAGCCTCTGCCCACTGACACATTTAGGAAGAGTCACCTGATGTACTGCTAAAAGTGAGTGGTATTGCAAAAGCAAATTTGGTGCACTTAGTGCAAACGAATACTGAATTTAATGCAAGTGAAGAGTGTATTTTATGTACATGAATGCTGCATTTCACCTCCAACACTGTCTTGTAGCAAGAGGGAAAAGTTGAGCAGGAGGAGCCACGTGACTGCTCTTACCAAAAGGTGGTTGAGTCAGGTTAAGGCATAGGAGGTGGTATGCTTTGGGACAGTCCTTCTTATCACACATGACCAGCTCTCCCCCATCTCCACACTGGAAACAGTTATCTTCATGCATTTGCTTCTGTTCTGTTTTTATTTTCCGTTTCTTCTGCTTTAATTTTGCATTTTTCACCTTCTCTTCGTTTGCTGTTGCAAATGCTGTCTAAGAAGGAGAAAATCACAATACAGAGTCACTTATAAACCCCTGGCATCCAAGCCAATTTTGGGTTATTATTTCCATGAACTTTTCTTAAATTACATCCATTTAAAATAGTTTTTAAGCTCTAAAAACCAGAAGTGCTCATTCAGATGTTCCTGAATTAACTTCCCACCAGATACAACACCACGGCAGGGCACACTATAAAATCTTTGGAGACTTCCAAGGGTAGAAAGTATTAGACAGGCTAAAGAGGGAAGCAAATCAAACCCCTCTCTGCCCTGCCAAGTGCCTGGATTTGGGAGCAGAAGCTCCAGGTTCACCCACGTACCTTGGGACGCACGCCCAGGAAGCCGCTGCAGTTCTCTGCTCCACAGTGACACTCGGTCCTGCCATTGCCCAGGCAGTCCAGGTTGTAATTGAATGTTAACTCCATTCCTACAATTTAAAGAAAAACAATTCACCCACACCGAGGGAAGACAGGCCTGTGACAGTGACATTTCATTAGCATTTGTTATCATGAGACCCCTGCTAAAACTGGGACCATAAGCTCCACTCCAATGAATAAAAAAGTTCCTGAACACCTCACTGGCATTAATAACTTCAAAGAAAAAATCGTGATTCTAACTGAGGAACTTGGCTACTGCAAGACAAAAGCAAACACGCCAAATAATGCCATCCTTTTACCTGCAGGAATGTCACAAAGAGCAAACAGTCCAACTCTAATGTCACCATTCACTGTCCACTTCTGTGTTTCACAGTTTGGGTTACAACTATGGTTCATAAAACGAGAGTAGTTCCCCTTTGGGCCAGCATCTATTATTCGGTCCTTCAAGGAAAAAGACAAAGACGTGTTTAGTACTTACAAAGCAAAGAGGTTTCCTGCTGCTGAGTGACATTTGCTATCAAACAAGACACAATATTCACCTTGGTTACAGTCAGCATATAAAAATTGGTGACACTGTTCTCGTGAGCACGTTTGATCCGCAGCCTGCACTCCTCCTCATCAATCAACTCCCCAACATACTCATTGACAAATTCACCCTGCAAAGGAAAGGAGAACAAAAGTAAGAAATCTGTGCATCCTAATCACAATTAAAGGGAAGCAGCACAGAAAAAGCATTTCCTATAAAAAAGAACAAAGTGGTTCTGGTAGGCACAATGTGAATACATGCACCAGGTAATTGCTGTCCAAGCAATACACCCACGCAGAAGGAAAGGCAGTTCTGTTCCTGCATTCAGTACACAAGACAATTGTCAGATCTATAAAATCCTTTCAACCTTCCCACTTTCTTCAAAGAGGACAATGTGATGATATTCATGGACTCCTCAGGAAGCAGGAACTGTTCCAGTAAGCATCTTCACTACATACTTCACTTTTATTAGGACTTTAGTAGTCAATAAACTCAGAACATTTGCAGTAACAAGGTTTTCAAGAAACACGGATATTAAAAGTTCTGAATTAAATAAAATTAATGACTAAACCCCATGTTTAAAGCAGCCCTCCAGGCCAATAGTGTTTTCTAAGGAAAATCAGGAGAGTTGGGACCTGACCTACACCTCGATACAAAGTCACCAATGCACCGGGCACTGCCAGTCAGCTGCTGAGGGGTTAAAACACAGCTCATGCTCTGGAGGTGCAGAGTGCTCTCACCCAGAGCCTCGCTGCTGCCTGTCCCCGCCCTGCCCTGCCCACTGCACCTTTTTAATGCTCCTCTTGGTGCGCAGCCCCCAGCCGCGGCGCTCGGTTTTGATGATCTCGGCGTCGGGGTAGAGCCTCTTGGTGAAGCACTGGTTCTGGCAGCGCTCCCCGGCCGGGCACACCTGCGGGTGGCACTCGTACTGCAGCATCCTGTTGAGGCACTCGGACTCCAGCCCGCAGGGATTCTCGTCCGAGGGTTTGCAGTTACAGCGCGGGATCTCTGACAGGTCGGCCACCTGGATCTGAACCTTCCCGATCACCTTGTTGGACTGGGAACAAAGGGGGAGAGCAAAGGATGAACACAATGCACTGCAAACAAGAGTCAACAACTGACCTGAAAAGGCAAAGAAAAAACTGTTTTATCCTGTGCTTTACTGTACTGTAAAATACAACAGGAGATTAGTGAATAGAACAGCAGAATGATTCACATTCATTTCTTTGAGCCTGCACTGCTGAACACCTTGGTGTAAGTACATAACTCAGAATCACAGAACAGTGTGGGTTGGACTGTCCAGTCCCAACCCCTGCCATGGGCAAGATCTTCCACTACACCAGGCTGCTCTGATCCCCCTCCAACCCATCCTTGAACACTGCCAGGGAGTGGGCAGCCACACCTTCTCTAGGCATCCTTACTCATGCACAACATAACTTCCTCACACACAGAATAAAAATAATAAAGAAAGATGCCAACTCACTTTAATGTGTTTATAGGGCGGAGGTTTCCTTGAATTCCTTTCAATTTCCAATGCCTCTTTGCTTTCTCTTTGTGCTTTCAGTTCCTGGAAACGCTTTGCTGCTTCTTCAAGTGCTGTGCAAGGAATTCAGAATAGAAAGCAATCAGCCCCAGCTGCTGCTAATCAAATATATACATGTACATGTATCTATTTAAATATTTTTTTAAAGACTAGGAACAGAACTCTATTAACAACAAGACAAACTAAAAATTAGTTATTGAAATTTATAATGAATTTATCATCAGGTACTTTCAGCAGGTACCAAGATACTGAACAACGATCCCATGCAGCAGAGCCCAAGATCCATTTTAACATTTCCCCGTTTGTGGAATCACTGAACTGGCCCACAACAACACACAATGAGTAGGCACTTAAACACATTTTTATCTGCAGTCAAGGGATCAACACAATGCTTGGATTTCACGTGAACACAGAACACTAGTCACATAATATTCCCATGCAGGTTAAGTGGTGATGGAGACACAAACACGTGGAATTTTTGTCATAAACCACTATAAACTTTGTTTGATTTTACCTTTCTTGAAGGTCTTGTTAATACTAGTTTGCCCCTCAGCAAAGCTTTTATCTCCTTCAACATAAGGGAAAACTCTGCCCTGGTGTACCCAATAGTAGTCATGTGAACCAAAGAAAAATACTGGGAAGTCCCCGATATCATGTTTGAGGCCCTGTATGTTGAGAGGCACAGACCTGGGATTGCAGATCTCTGCTGGCCACCACCTGCAGAGTAGAGGAGAAAAGAAGAATGTAAGTTCTCTGAACCAGAGCTTCCCTAATGGGATTGAGAATTAAAGCCAGTTTTCCTTTCTTAAGGAAATGAATTTCATCCCTCACACAGCCAAGGCTCCTGCTGGCAATGCCTGGGAAGCTCCATGCAAAACACAAGCAATGTTCTTACTCCAAATTCTGGAAAAGCCTTCTAAGAATATCCATGGCCTGAGAGTGGGTTTCCAGGATCACCTGTAAACACCTGTACTGCTGCAGCTGACTAAAGCAAACTGCAGCAAGGACAGCTGGGCTCTGCCAGCCCCTGCTTTCCCCCATCCTGATCAGCTCAGCAGAGCAAAGGTGTGGGATTGCACTCTGCTGCAACCCAGAGTCCATCGCTGCCCGGGAGAAGGAGCAGCGTTGCATCTAAGGGTGACATCCATGCCTGACCCCAGCAGAGCAATTTCTGCATTTCTACCTCTCGTTCACCATGACTGAGCTGCTTTATCTTCCTGCAATTCCAGAGTACATTAAAACACCCAAAGCCTTAGAAGCCCCAAAAGGTGAACTTGCCTGTAATTTCCAAGCTTGACCCAAACGATCTGCTTGTACCGCAGCTTCTTGCCAGCTTTACAGTCATTGCAATTCCAGCATCCCTCAGGCATTTCTATGCTGAGACACTCGGGGTGGAAGGAAGCTGGGCAGGACTCACAGCACAACAGTTTGCCACCTTGAAACAAAGAAGCCCTGCTTGGTTTGTAGAAGTCAGGATTTGCTCCCCCCGTGCACAGCAATTGACATTCATTTTAAATCATCCACTTCAGATTCCCACTGCCCCACAGAAAAACGGCAAAGGAAAGGGATCAAGTCAAACATAACAATGTTGGTTAAAAAGGACTGTGCAGTGCTTAATCTAAGCTAGGACTCAGCTGCATCACACAAAAAAGCAGCTGAGGACTCAAGCACGAGGCGAGCTGGCAGGAGGAGCAGCACTCCCAAGGGAAGCACTGCAGCTGGGAACAGCTTTTAGTGCTTTGGGGATGGCCAAAGCAACCAAAACCTCCAGGTCTTTAAAGAATCCTTTTCAATCAACATTGCTCTGACTGAATCCCCAATCATTAGTGAGCACCAACCCCACAGCCTATAGGTTGATCAATACTTTTCTGCTGCAAGGACAGGAAAAAGCAATGTGATAAGTGTGTTTATTCCACAGAAGGTTTACCAGGATGAGCCCAGTACATAAAGCAGAATGAGACACGTGTGAGTTGTCCCCATCCCGAGAATTCCTGGTGCACAGAGGGAACCTCAGCACTGGGGTTCACAAGAATTTCTGAACTTTACACTAATTTGGGCAAAAGATATTTTGGAGGATGTGTTACGTGTGGAGAGCCACAAGCACATCTCTAAGCCACCCTCAGCAAAGCAGCTCATGTAAGAGGACTTGATCCATTACACACATTGTAATATTTTATACATGTAGGTATATAAAAATACATATATATACATTCTTATATGTATATATATTTTAAAATTAACAAGTTTTTGTCTCACAGATGGAAAATCTGAGACAGACTTGAGAGTATTCAAATCAATTTTCAATCACAGTATCAAAAGAAGTGTGAATAGTCACTTTCAAACCTTTATCAGAAAATCTTGTCCACCTATAGACTTCCCAAAATATCATTGCATTAATTGATTATTGCATGTTACAAGGAGCATTCCTTAAACAATTCAGTTGCATGACCAGCACTGTATTTCCTCTGCTAAAAACAGTAAAATCCAGTCATATGGATCCTCCAGAGCTCCCAAACCCATAGTGAAAATTTTGAAGTGTTTTTTGCAAATGTAATTTCAGAGGAAATACAGACAAATTACTGAAACATTATCCAAGATGAGAAAATGCCAAGAGATGCAAAAATCAAACACAATCAAACACGAAACTGTCAATGCTAAGCAAGAAAAAAACCCAACATTACTCTCGGGATGCATTAGGCAGATATGGCTCAAGCTAAGCACAGGGCTCAAAATAATTCTTGTTTCCAGGAATTACAGGACTACTGCAAGCCACTGATCCCACAAGGCTCCAAGTGACCTAACTTGGGCTGGGCAATGGGGCACCGGCTCTGAACGCTCCCGGGGAACCAAAGCTCTGTGGGGAACGAAACATCACAGCTGAGCATTGCACACACACAGCACGACTGCCCTGGCAGGGATCTGGGGAGCCCCGGCCCCCCCAGCTGCAGGAAAAGACCCAGGACGGGGCCAGAGCCTGGCTGGGGCAAGGAGCCATCCTGGGGCAGGGGACAGGCACAGGGCACTGCTGTCCCATGCTGGAGGTGGCACACGAGGCTCACTGGGGACACACACGGGCCAAAGCTCGCTGCCCTCCTGCTCTGGCACCCTCCAGAAGGACACAGCACCCACCCTGGCCCAGCCCCAAACGCCCTCTCTCCTCTCAGGACCTGCACAAGATCAGCACCACACCCCCCTCTGCTTCCAATCCATTTAAGAAGTGCTTTTACATCATCCAGGTAAATACTGAACTGCAACAATATCGAGATCCATGTCCTCCTCTTCACATTGCTCTGCAAACAGCTCCCTGAACCTGGAACAGCCCAGGCCAGGTACAGAGTGACCAAACCTCTTCCAAGGAGAATTTAGTGACAGCAATTATTTTAAGCCCTTTTATAATTAAAAAAAAAAAAAAAAATTAAAAATCGCCAACAACATGAACACAGGCTCACAAAAACCATGAGTGAAGGTCACTGAAAGCAGTCAGTGTGGGGACAAGCAGACATTTCTCCGTTGATTTAGAGAGAAAAAATAGAAAAAGCGAAAGTAAATTAAAGAGAAAGAAACTATTTTGGTTACCTTTCTCACATTTCTTTTTGGAAGCTGACGAAGGAGGAGGAATCATAGGTAATTTCATCAACTCAGCACGATTTGACTCATTCAGTAGGTAGTGGGACTTATAGGCATAGGAACTGAACAGGGGGTCTGAATGGTCCTGCACTACCAGCCCTATACGAAACAAACAGAAAGAGATGAGTTGCAATGAAACTACCCATGATTCCATGAAGGAAAAATCAAATAAACCCCATGAACACCTCTAATGCGTTATGTGGGAATGAAAAAAGGATAAAATGAAGAAAAAGGAAAGTCTGACAAAGTTTCTGCTGTAGCACAGAGGTTGTGCTGGAGAGACTCAAACTTAACTGGAAAATCTTGCAATGAAATAAGCTGCTTCTGAGTGGAATTTCAATTGGTTCTTCACCCTTCATTTGTGCATTTGTTGACTAGCACAAGAAAAGCAACAAAGCTTGAATCTGTGGGAACCCCTCTCCTTCCCACAGGACAAAAGGAGCGATGGTCACTGCAGCAGGGCCGTGCTCTGTCTGAGCTGGGGCTACAGACAGAACAGATGTTGGGAATGAGAGCTCACCATCCCACTCCCTACAAATCCATCCCTGAGATCTCGCCTACAGAAGTGTTTTGTCTCTGTAACTGCGCTGGAAAGCAAGGAGCAGGTCAGTGCTCTGCAAGGCACCAAGGGGGAAGCACAGATGGAGGTTCTGCCCTAGGCTGTGCTGGTGAAGCTCCCCCACCCAGCCCTCCCAGGGCTGCTCCAGAACAGTCCAGCACTCAGTTCCCTACAGAACCCCTTCCAGACCTCTGCAGTTCTCAGTCCTGCAGCAAGAAGAGCTTTTCCTCTTTACCCCAAAGAGCCAGGCAGCCCAGCTGAGAGCCCAGAGCTGCGGAGCAGAAGCCTTGGCCAGTAACTCACAGAAGAGCAGAGCAACTGAGCCCCAAAGAAACAGCAAAGATGAGGTACCAAGAGAGCCCCCAACTCCTCCCCAGAGGGACACAGAGCTGAGGGCTGGAGAGAAGCTGTTGGTGGTGCCTAAAACACTGCTGTAAGAAGACTGGGGTCAGCCCATCCGGACACTGGAAGGATTCCTAAAACAAGGGGACCTACACATGCAAGGAGAGCTGTAACATGCAGACTGCAGAGTGGTGAAGAAGAAGTCTTTAAATATCTTGCATTTCAAGTACCTCACTGTAAGCAAGTTTGTATATTTTATAGATTGCCTCTCATCTACATTTCCCACTTCACTGCATCTAAATACAAAGTCTCTGCTTGTGATAGTGACTAACACTGATTAAATCACCATTCTCACAGAGATAGCCAAGGGTTTCCAAAGCACTCAGTTCCCCATTTCTTTCTGAGCAGGTGGCTCAGTGCTCAGCCCCAGGTACTGTCCTCAGCACTCTGGCTCCTGATTCCAGCCAGGCTGATGGTCACAAGCCCCACAAGAATGTCCTACACGAACAAGTACAGAGTTGCTCTAAGACACAGAGAATTCAGGCAGTGGCAATGGTTTGTAACTGTTCAAGTTTTCTTATTTAAGATCTGGGGAATGCACAGGACAGGGAATTCCATCTGCCAGGGCTCAAGAGGTTATTTAGATTGCCAGGAGAAAACACAGACTTGTGCAGTTTAATCTCTGATGGAGCCAGATTCAGGTATAAAGAGAATTACTAAACAAATGTAAAGTGGAAGAAAAAAAAAGCATGAAAAATTCTTTCTGCATTCCTTATCATTCTGAGATGTGTAATTACTACTCTGCTCTTGCAAAGTCAAGCCAAACGAAACTTCCACCTGAATGAACACAACTGAAAACAAGTAACTTCAAGATCCAGCTGACTTTCATTTCCCTGTTAGTGACTCTCAAAACTGCAGCAGAGAACACATCCAATATACACTGCTGGCATTCTGTAGAAGGTACATATTAATATTATTCCAATGCCTAAGAATAATGGTGCTTTTGAATCTGGAGACCAAAGGAACTGCTGCACTGACATTTTTTTAAGCTGCTCTCTGGCAGAACCTGAAGAACCATAAAAGTAACAAGTGGGGAAAAAAGTTAAAAATTAAAAAAAAAAAAAAAAGAACTTTTGACACATGGAAAAGCCCAGCATGAAACCTGCTCATACAGTACTGCTAAAGGTTTTCTTTCAAAGTTCTCAAATGTGATGGCAGTTACAAATTGAGTTTTTCTAGTTCATAAGTAAATTCCACCTTTTAGCCTTAAACAGTTTTAAGTTTGTAGCAGTGAAAGAATTCCCTTCTGCTTATTACAGTGATTAACAACACAGCAGTCATTCTCAGCATGAAAAGGCTGGAATGGGGGAATTGGGATTTGCTTTTCCCTACTGGCAGAACAAGTTGGCCTGAGGGCCTGTTGCTGCTTCTGGCTGTCAAATGTTATGGACCAACACAGCGAGTGGAATCTCATGAGAACTGCTGACCAAAATAAAATAAAATTAAATTAGATAGAAAATCCCATTTAACCCCAGCAGGCCCTAAGGGAGGAGTTCCTCATGAAACACTACTTTTATCACTAAACTGCACAAGTGACAACAGAACTATAAAACAGGGAAAAACCGAGCGTCTCACCTCTTGCACAAACGAAACAAAAGCCTACATTTACAGCTGATGAGGAGTGAGTCCTTTTGGAATGGTTACTACAGATGAGGATGTGGGATGACACAAACAAGCTTCCTGCAGCGATGCAGCCGTCTCCAGAGTGATAGGCCACGGGGCAGCGCAGACATCTCGCCATGCGACCTGCGACACAACACAGCACTCAACACCACTGAGGGCAACCAGGGCTGGGCTCAGGACTGCCTGGATTCCCCACAGGTAAGGGCAGGTCTATTCCAATGGCAGTACTGGGTAAAACAAAGAAACAGCTACATCTTTTTTTCTAAAGGAAGTTTTGCAAATATTATCCCCTAACTTTAAAATTAAGAAAAACTTCTATCATTCTAGAGTGTGTTTGCTTGGTTTAAACACTTTGGTTCGTTTCTAAAAGGATCTTTTTCCTTGAAAAATAATTGCTCACAAGGCCACTACAAACTGTCTTTAAAACTCAACATTCCTTGGCCTCGTACTATGAACCCTTGGCTTCCATCAAACCCGGCACCAGGAGCTGACCAGGTGTGTGGCTCCAGATCCAGGTACACTGCACAGGGTCTGCCTGCTTCCCACCCATGAGCTATTTCAGCTGATGACCTCACTCCTGCCTGCTGCGTTACTGACAGTGGAGCCAGTGGGTGCAGCGTTGCTGTGCTGCTGCTGGGCCTCCCCCTGCTCGGAGCAGCCGTCCTCACCCTTGCTGGCCTTGTGCATGTCCTTGTCCATGGAGCAGGCCGTGCAGCAGTGCTGGGGGCAGCGGAAGCCGCGGGACTCGAACAGGGCCGTGGCAAACTTGCGCACACAGGACTCGTGGTAGAACTTGCCACACGTGCTGACAGAGCAGCGCTTCACGTCCTTGCCAGGGAGCTTGCAGGAAAAGCACGTGTGCTCTCCTTGGGAGAGAAGGAATAAGGAACCCCCGCTGTAAAAGCCAGCTCTGACACACAGATACTGTCCCAACAAATTCTGAAGCCAACAGACCGTGAGCAATACAGGATCCTCCCTGTCCCACAGGCTGGGTGGTTGCTGTGATCCACAGTAACACCGGAGTAGCTGCTCACATAAAAATCTCATTTCAAGTAAAACCTTAAGCAGCTCATTACTTTTTTTTTCTGACGAGGCACTTGCCAAATGGAAAATGAGGATCTGGTCTCGGAGGTTAAAAAAGCTTGGGAATAACCCAAGCTTAGTCACAAACCCTAGAAAAGCACCACCTTGGTTTGCTCTGACCAGAATGTGGCTCCTGAGCAAAGGGGGAAATCCCTCCCAGTTTTCCAGGCACAGAACACACTCACCGTTCTTACACTCGGTGCAGATGAACTTTTCCTCAGGCACAGCCTTCAGGCCCAGACACTCCAGGTGGAACATGCTGCAGCACTCCCCCTCGCAGGCCAGCAGAGACTCGCCAGAGCTCTCACAGATCTGCAACAGGCACAGAGCTCAGCAGGGAGCCCTGACAGGCCAGGGACTGCCTGGAATTGCTTCACAGTCAGGGTAAGGCAGGAGAACTGAACCTGGCAAGTCTCAGGCCAAGGACAACCCCAGCACTCCCTGCAGCTTGCTCTGGGGTAACAGTGTGAGCCAGGACAGAGACAGGAGAGGCACTACACTGCACTCTTCCATTTCTCAGGGAACAAGCTGCACTTGTTCTTCAGGTCCTTTACTACTGACCACGGAACTGGACAGAAGATCCCAGGATTTTTTTTCAAAATACCAAAAAGTTCTCACTCTCTCTCCTATCCTAACCAGCTGGAATCTTTAAATGGAGCAGAAAATGGCATCTACTTTTTCTACTGATGCTGGCAGGTATGGCTTAGACACCACCTTCCAGCTGCTGAGCTTTCTGGCCTGTAGAAGGGCTTAGGCATTATTTAATATGAATAATTTCCAGAGGATAAAAAGTCCTAAAATCCTGGATATTTTATCTGAGAGGTCGAATTAAGAGAACTAACAGAAATAGGGGATACATGTTTAGTATCCATCACTTCCCAGTATCACCAGTTACCTGACAAACAGTGTCTTTTCTACTTGTTCCAGTTCCTCTCCTGGATAAGCTGGAGTCCACCGACTGCACATCCGAGGCATCAGCATCAGCAGTGGCTGAGGGGCTGTCTGAGCGCTTCCCAAAACTGCCCTACAAACAGCAAAAACCCACAGCACTCAAACCACACCATTCCAAAGGACAGCCACACTGGGGACAGTATCTGTCACTGTTGACCAAAAGAGCATTTGGTAGGGCAAGAGACACAAAGGTTCTGGAAAGGTGCTGAACTTCACTGGGATGACACAAGTGCTAAACACCATAAAGAGCTCTCTTACTTTTCCAGACACTCCTTGGAGTTACACCACATACAGCAGCATCTCCCAATTCCCAAGAATTTCAAACCTTCCACAGAGCAAACCATGATCTAAACCAATGCTTTGTCAGACAAAGTAATAGGAAAATTTGTAAGTAAACACTGTTTTCATAACAAAGCAATGGAGGGGATTAGAAGGAAACAGATTATGCTTTACGTTTTCAGATAATAAAATACAAAAATAGTGTTCACATATTTAGAATAATCAACTAAAAAGCCTCTTGTACACTTGATCAGGTCCCTGTGAGAACCAACACACCTTTACCTGTAAATCATTGAGTCCTCTGGAATCAGAGTCAGATGTGTCCCTGTAGGCTGAGCTGGTCAGTTCCATGTCTGTAGAGGCACGACTTCTCTTCTTTAAGGGTTTACAGGAGTCTGAAATCTCACTGGCACCTTAACACAACATGCTAAAATTAGTTTAATATATGTTCTCAACTTTTTGCTTCAACTTAATAAAGGAAAGAAAGACGAGACCTTGGATTCCATTATCTGCCTTAATTTTCAGTTTGCAATTTTGTTACTAGTTGTATTCTCCCTGAAAATTAACTGAAAACCAGCTTAGGCAGAGCTTTTGACAACTTTAACGTAGTGAGACAGTAGAAGAAGGCAACAAACTGTCTTTAAGGGAGGATAAATCCTTAGGAGATTTCCTCTTCATCATCCATCTTTTTAACTTTGGCTAAGCAGAAACTTTTAAGAAATGCCCAGGACTTAAGGACTTACAGCACATGAACAAATCATCCTTCCCCCAGCAGGGCACAAGGACCAGAAGCCCAAACACAGCCCATCCCCAGAGAAGTGGAGCTCAGCCCCCCAGAGCACCAACACTGCAGCTCACATGGGACAAAGCTGCTGCCCAAGGGCCATGAGCCACCAAGCTCAGGCGAGTTCCTTTTCTCCTGTCACTCACCTTTCTGCAGCCCCGTCTTCACTGCTGCCAGTGGGACAGCTTCAACCTGTTTGAAAGGAAAATGCACAGTTAACACCACAGGAAAGTTTCTCCCTAGTACCAAAAAGCAAACAGGTCAGTTCAAGGGGTTAGAACTCAGGTGGGAGCTGCCATCCCCTCCTCAGCCCGAGCCTCCGTGTCCCGCTGGATCCACTCCTGCCTAGGCTGGTGCCCGCAGCCATGGCAGCCGCGGGCCACGGGCCAGGTCACTAGCCAGGTCCCTTCTGTCTCCCCTGGGCCATGAAGGTGACAGGAGCGCTGTGTCCGTGTCCAGCAGGCAGCACCGGGGCTTTGGGCAGCCACCCCGATGCTGCGCAAAGCCCACACGTGCGTGAGCGCAGTTCCCCTGGCAGGGCTGGCACTGGGCTAGTGAGACACAGCGCGGGGCCACTCCCAGCAGCGCTCCCCGGAGCTCCTGCAGCCCCTCCTCCCGTCTAGAGCTCTGCACGGGCCCGCCCGGTGCCGAGGTGCAGGGCTCTACACACTGGGACTCCAGGGCACGTCACCACACAAAGGCACAACTTTACAACCTTGCAAAAGCACCTCCAGTCCTTGACCCTACGGAGAAGTTTAGGAACTGTTCTGCCAACATACATGGAAGATGTGGGAATTTGGTGACTGGATAATATCTACAGAAGAAAGCTGTTGCCTAAAATCCTGTTTTCAAGGTTAAGAATTACAAGTTATTTCTTTACAATGTGGTTACATATCCATGGAGAAACACATTTAGTAAATATTTAAGGATTATTCTATAATTTTTTTAAAAAATATTTTATTTTGTTGTACAATAGGTAAAAACATACAGTAGAAGGATTTGTAATACAAATATAAAATCTAAACAATCACTTTTATTTCTCCACTAGTCACTGTAACAGTAGCATCAACATTTTGTTTTTCCCATTAATTGTACTCGTTCCAGTTATAATTTTATACCAAGTTGTTGCAGACTAACTGGGGAATCAAGAAAACTTGACTTTGGGTAACAAATATTGTTGCATAATCGTAAGAAGTTAGTAAGTTTTCTTTTTTAAAATTTAACTTAATACATTCAAGGTTTAGCGCATTACAGTGCCCCTGGGTTTCACTTTAGTCAGATACTTCTCCTGAGAAAAGCACTTTAATTAATGTCCACAGACTGACTCAGCCAGGTAAGAGAAGCACATGAAGCCACCTGGCAGCCATGAAGTTCATCTTGTTGGTTCTTATACCTTTGTTAGATTAAGAAACCTTTACAAACACAAACCAACTCTTTTCAAAGGGGGAGGCTGCAACAGCTCGTGCCAAGAGGCTCCACAGACCACAGCAGGTGTCACACACCCAACACTTAAACTGCTTTAAAGTTTCAGCAAGAAACTGCCCCGAGCTGGAGCACTCCTCTGCTGCACAGCAGTGCAGAAATGCTGCAGCATCAAAGGAAAAATAAGGGAAAAAATCCCAAAAAGCAACGGAGTTCACTTTCAGTCTCTGAAGTGAAGGAAGTGCAAAACAAAGCGCAAAGGGCAAAGAATAAATTAAAGAGATAAAAATATTTTTTCCCCTTCCCATATAAATCTTTATCCTGACTGTCGCTCTTTAAAAATTCTCACTGGGAAAAGCTAAACTATGAAACTTTTATATAAAATTCTCAGCTTTCAGGCAGAGGCCCCTTGAAGAGGGAAAAATCAACCATGCAAGGAGAAGAACCAACAACTTTGACAAACTTGTTAGAAGTGTATGCAGGTTTTAATATTTCTGTCCATCCACTGCACTCTCCTACTCATTTCCACGCAGAAGTTTTTTATCATTAAATTTTTTTAAAGCAACAACATTTGTCTATCTGACATCCAGATTAAAGGAATGCCCTGTACACGTTAGAAGTATTTCATGAAAAAAATGGTATATCCCAGAACTGTTTTGCTGATGTCTGCCAACATGAAAGTCTGACTATTCATCTTTAAGTGAAATCATTCTTGAAGTCCATTTTCAGAAGTGGTCAAATTTAATCACTCTAACTTCATTTGAAAAACAAAACCTCAACACAAACCAGCAGCTAAATCAAGAGCCAAAGGAAGGAACCTGGTGGCAATTCCATCCAAGAGAAATCACTGAAACAAACCCATTTTGCTCAGAACAGAAATCTCAAAGGAAACATGGCAGGTTCATTGGGAGTCATCCATCACTGCGTTCCCACTTCCATAGCCTGACTGATACTGAGAAGATGCCAGTAGCAGAGTCACAGCAATGGCATTGACAGGGGGATTTCATGGAGGATAGTCCAAACCGAAACCCGATGGGGAAAAATGGAGAAAAATAAAAAGGCACCAATATAAGCCACAACATTTATGAATACGATATATTTTAACTCTCTACATGGAGGAAGCCAACCTGCTCCTTTTTGATCTTCTTCTTTGGCACAACTTCAGTGGATTTCTCAGACTCGGAGCGGGTTCGAATCGATCTTCTCTGTTGCTTCTTTTCTACAGAACCTGAAGAAGGAAAAAGGTTTCCATTACATGATTCCTTGCATTTCTGAGGTACACCAAGATGTGCAACACCAAATCAAGAGGTAAAGGAACGAAACCAAGACTCTGTCCTCTTTTGAATGTTTTATTTTTAAATTCAGTTCCAAGCTATTGACCAGCTGGTGCTGAGGCTGCAGACACATATTCTGATTGCAGAGACAGATCAGCTTCAGAAAACACACACAAGTAACAGAGTGGAACAAAAGGCTGGAATTCAGCTTAGGGCAAGCAGATTTCCATGATCCATAACACACCTCTCAGGCACAGTCTTCACTTGGGTAATTTTGAACCAAACAGTCCATCTTTGGTGTTTTGGGAAGGTGGCCACAACAAACTCCTTGAACAAAAACAAACTAGAAATTTCAGACGCAAAGCAGAGCTCCAGGATTTCCCCCAAAATGCCAGATCTGTGCCCCCCTCTGTGGGGTGATGGCTCTGCCACATAACTACAGCCAGCCCCACCCTGCACCACCTGCAGCCACACCAGACCTCAGTGCTCACCTGAAGGTTTTGAGGTGAAGAAAAACTCAGCACAAACAGAAGCATCAACCACGATGTGTTACCGTCATTATCGAATGTGAAAAACAGGTTTTTAAAAGTATTACCAGAGAAAACAAACTCAGATTAATGGAGGTTATTGTGATATTTCAACAGATGAAGAGGGAGCTATACTGGGTTTTTTCCAAGTAAGGCTGGCAAAGTCAAAAAAGCCTTTCTGTGCTCCAGCACCTCCCAGCCAGGCACATGGAGAAGCACGGACACGACACTCAACACCACGGGCAGCTGCTGAACAAGCACACACTTGGAGCTGACACAAAACTGGCACCTGAGGATTTACAATGAGCTGCTGGGAAGCTTCACCTAAAGAGGACACAAGCAGGAAATACTTTGTTTTCTTCCAAGCAAAACTGCAAACTCCTGGGAGCTGACTGCACTGTTAGGAGCTAAACCTGCCTGGTCTTGTCAGAAGATCAAGTCTCTAGAGACACACACGGGCTTGAATCAGACTGAAAGACAGCCTTGCAAAAGGACTTCAGAGAAAAAAATGAAAACTCCTCTTGATTCATTGGATGAACATTGTTCCTATGGCTGCATAGATTGGGAATGTCTCAGTAACTAAACTATCCAGCTGGAAAAGTTATCATGTTACAATAACTGGATTTCTGAGGGGAAAAAATTGGTATTCTTCAAGGGAAGAAACTTTTAGAGCATATTAATTAATGAATAATAGCAATTAGTTATTAATAATTTAGAAATTAATGAGTCAGATCAACATCTATCATGTCCATCCACATGTAACTTCTGGTTCCAATAGGCCCCATCCCTTGAGGAACTCCCACATCAGAGCTGGGGAACATCTTTTGTCACTTTGCTGTGTGACCAAAATCCCCTGAAGAAGCTTCAGGTAAATTTGAGCAGGTGTGACCAACAGTTACTTTAACCAAGAATGGATTTTCTCTCTGTGCTGCCTCACTGAAGCCAAGGAGATAAGACCAAGCCCTGGACCAGAGAATTCCAGAACTAGAGTGTCTAATGCTGACCACTGCAATGGGCACTTTCTCCTCTTCCTGCTCTCCAAGGATCCAGCCAGCACCTTCACAATGCTCCCATCCCATCTTCAGGTAAATTTTCATCCAAAGTTTCAGGACAGAAGCTGGACCAGCCCTTCACCTCGCTGGAGGTAAATCCTACTTCAGTGTCTGCAGGCCAGAGGCACCAGGGATCCTCAGGGCTGCTCTTTCAGTAGCAGATTTCAAGTAAGAAAATTCTCTTTCCAGCATTATTGAATTCTGTGTCTCTAACTGCAGGTTATCAGTAAGGACTCCCAGAGCCAGCCAGGGAAATACTTTACCGTAAGGGATTCTGAAGTTCCGCTGACCTTACATTTGAAAAAAGGACTTGGCAGTTATGTTCCACAAGAGGGGACCAATAACTGGACTTTGGAAATGGCTTTGAGGGACTGGAGTGTGCACTGCAGGTGAGCTCAGGCCCTTACTGGGTGTTAGCAGGTGGAGTGTTACGTATCCAAAAGGCCTAAGGAAACGAAAAAAGAGAGGCTCAGAATTCTCACCCCTGCATCTGAGGAGCCTCAGGGAAGCTGAAGCCTTTAGATCCCAGGTGAGAGAAGCAGAATGATGGCCTCTCCTGCTGCAAGGCAATTCAGGTAACCACAACAACCACAGCTGGAAAGAACCACCACGGTCAACAGCAGGGGAATCCCCAGTCACAGCAGGAAATCCAGAATTCCTGGCCCGTGTGCTCCATGTCCCAAATGCTCCATAAAGCAGCAGATCAAATAACTCTGCCTGAAACCATCACAGACAGAACCTGAAGTGTGTTTGCAGAGGACTCATGGCTGCTGACCACTGAGATTCTGACTCTGGTTCTCACCTATTTCATGGTTGGAAAGGGCGAAATCATCAAATAGATGGATAGTTACAGCAGAAGTGACACCTGGCAACATTATGAGATGCAAATAGCTCATTCAAGGTTTCCCCATTTCAGGCCCAAGTTCCATTATTTGCTTCAGTGGTTCTTCTCCCTCAGACCTGGTATTTCAAAACTCACTGCTTTGTGATGTGCCCCCTGAGATGGCTTCAGCAGGCAAGCACTACCTCATTTGGTTGGTGGAATTAGATGAAGCAGTTTTTTAAAACTCCCTGTTCTTCAACAGGTCATGCAAAAACTCAACCACAAAGCCCGGGGGGCCTCCATCCTGAATCAGACATTCCCTACTGAAATGTGCCACTGCCTGACTCTTCTGCTTTCATGAGAGCTCTTGTATTTTACATTTGGGGCCAAAAGCAATGGCAATGCCCTGCTAACACACATCCCCTGGGTTGTCTTCTGAACCAGCTTGCCATTGTTCTGCATAGGACATCATCCCTTGAATACACTGACTCGGGCTGTAAGGTCAGAGGCCAAACCACCAATCCCACCCCACAGCCATGCTGTGTACGTTGGCTCACATGTGTAACATTAGCCATGCTCATTACAATTATTATTAAACAGAAAGATGCTAATAATTTTTAAGTAATAAGAAAATGCTGGGTTTGGTATTTGAATTGTCATGCTGAGGGCTCAGGCTCAGACCAGGACTGCAGTTTCCCTACCTGCTAGCCCAGAAGTTGTCTCAGGAGAGGAAGCATTTTGCACCACTGCTTTTTCACTTCTCTGTGCTGATGAAGAATTGAGCTTCTCTTGTCCTTTGACGCTTATTTCTGTTTTGTTACCAACTCCCTTGAAAAGAAAAAAGGAAAAGATTGTCTTCCCCTGTTATAAAGGTGTGCTGCTACCAGGTAACAGACCTGCCCCTGAATCTCAGAACAGAAACAACCAGTGCTCTCCATCCCAACAACACGCTCAGAATTAATCTACTACAGAGCTGCTTCCCTGCAGAGCTTTCCACCCTCTCAATCTCCCCTTACACATAAGGAAAAAATAATTCCAGTGACTTTTCTAAACATTACCTTCTCTACAGGGCTTAGGATGAAATAAACACTCTCCAGGTAGAGAGGCAGAAGAAGGAGGCAGAGAAATAGTCCTAAGCCTTTTCCTTACACTGACTGTGGGAAGCTGCTGTGCACCTGAAGGAAGCTCAGAGGCAGAACTCAATTTAAAAGTCTGTTACACAAAATACTTTTTAGTACATTATTAACAGTTTTGTCATCTGTTTCCCACAAAACCACTGATTTTATCAATAATTTTTGGATTATTTCAACTAGGAAGCTGAAGTTAAACAGCTTTAATATTTTTAATGTTATGAACAAAAATATGGCCATCTTCAGGGAGCTGCTCTGCCACCAGCAAAACAGTTACTGCCAGAGCTGCACTGCCAGTGGGGCTCAGTGCACTGAAAGATTCTATTGTCACGTCTGTCTGGTAATCTCTCCAGTGAAAGGAACAAGGATGGTGAAAGCTTGGTGGACACAGTTCAAGCTCCCCAGTAAGGCAGGCTCGGGATAACTCAGGAGCAAAAGAGGGGTCACTGCACCAAGCACGTACCTTGGTGGAATAAACAAATTGATCGATGAGTTTTCCATCCCCAGCAGCATTCTGAAGGGCAAAAACCTGTTCAATTTTAACAACCGGAGACATGTTACACTTTTGCAGATCCAGGTTGTGCATGGTTATTGAAGCTGGTAGGGACTTCCTGGCTGCAGCTGTTTTCCAGGCGATCTTCACGGGCGGTGCCTCCTCCTCCTCGCCGCTGGGCTGCCTGCGCTGGCCCTGCCTGCGTGCCTCGGCGTGGGAGGGTGACGAGCCCGGCCCTGGCGCCGTCCCCGTCCCTGTCCCCGCGCTGCCGTGCTCCGGCTGCGTGCTCGGCGCTGCCTTCGGCCGCCGGTTCTTCTTGGCCTCCGATTTGGAGGCTGCAGTCTTTTTGGCTTTGGCCAAAGCCTCCTCTGGCTCTTGGTCCACGTAAATGAAGGTGTACTGTTCTATCCTCTCCTCCCGGGTCATCTTCAGCGCCTTCTCGGCGTGGGCAATGCCGATGTCCCACTGCGCTCGCTCCCTCTGCGGCCGCGGCTTGCGAATCTTAAGGGACAGGACAAGCACTTGGTTACACTCAAGATTTTGCCACTACAGCACTTAAACACAATCCTGAGGGTCTCTGCATCTCTCAGGCAGCAGACTGCAGCCTGCTCTCCATTTACAGGGTATTTCTGACACTGAATGTGGACACCGAGTTCCCTGCCAGTGAGTTGCAGCCAGTCCTTCTCAGGGCAAAGCTCTGAAGAGTTCCAGAGCTGCCCTGGAACACGTCCCTTACAGAGGTGATCCCCCAGTGCCCCCTGTACCTTCTGCTTCTCAGAGTGGTTGCTGGCTTGCTTGGCTGCCTCAGCCAGTAACTGCTCGTACTGTTTGTGCCCTTGGTACTCCCGGACACGCTTCTCGTGCACCCAGGCTCGCTCTGGCTGGTTGCTGAAGAACTGCACGTGGTATTCCCGGGCACCTGCAAGGGCAAACTCCAGTCAGCAGCTGTACCAACACTGCTCTGCCTGCTCAGCTCATGCTTTCCTCCTCCCCAGTGCTTCATTCCTGCAAGTGGAGGCACCTGGCCAAGTGCAGAAATACAAGAGGCCAGATCCAGAACAGTTTAATATGGAAGCTCAGGACACCCTGCCCACACTGAATACTCTCACGCTGGCTTGAGAAAAGCACAAACACCTGTGCACAAGCCCATTCCCACAGTGCCACCTGCACAGTACCACGTACGAGTTCTGTGCTAGTTCAGGACACACAGAGCAGAATTTATCCCACAAAGGCAGTTCAGAATGAAGGTATTTTTAATAAAGAACAGCTACAGACCCTGACGCTCTGGCAAAGAGCTTCCTCCCTTACCTCTTGTGTTAATTTTGGTATGCACGTCAAGCTGTGGATCACAGGACACCATGCAAGGCCACCAGGGGTACGTCCCCACCTTGGACCAAACCAGATCCCCAACCTGGAACTTGACGTCGTGGGTGACCTGTGCTGGAAGGGACGGCACGAGCGGCTGCACCTGCAAAGGAAACACCAGATTAAAGCCACGGGATTAAACCCACAGCACTGGGAGATGCACACATCATCCACTGGGACCTGTTGTTGTTGTTCTCTCAGCCATCCCTGAGGTTTGGTAATCCAAGATGACAAAAACATTTCTTAGAAACGTGAAAGGAGCTGCACACGGCTCGGATTTACGTAACAGCATCACCGACAAACTGAGACACAAAAGAGCAACTGCCAACCCTCCCAAAAACAATTCTGCTTCCTAAGCTGAGTAGAAATACTGCTTTTAGGATAAAATAAAGCAATAAATCCAGTAAAATAAGAGATGCATGGATGCAGTAATGAGAGCAGTAAGAGTTTAAAAGAAATGACAACTGATGTATCAGACAAATTCAAGACTCAATGGAAGAAACAGTCCAAAAATAGTGACATTCTCCAAGTTCCAAGAGTGTTAATTGGTGCATGTACTAACCGGGGCTTCCTCCAGTACTGCATCTTCTCTTGGTCTCTCAGAGAGTGTGCTAAGCCTCTCGTTTGGTCTCTAAGAAATGGGTAACAATGAAGAGAAAAAAGGAAAACAAACACAAACAAGGTAAGGGGGCAGTGAAACAACAAAGATAATAGAGAAACCAGGCAGAAAAAAATAATTCACAGAGAGAAAGGCAACCACGAACCCAGAAAACAGGAATATAACTATTCCACGTACCCAATTAACATAGTAACATCACAATAAAGAAATACCTGGTTTCCCCTGCACCATTTACATTACTATCACACCTGAATATAAGGATGTTCTCCTGTAACAGGTAACAGAAGAACACACATTCAGAAACAGCAAATTCAAAGAACTTTCCACCTAAAATAACACACAACTTCCAAAAACCAGAGAAGCCCATGTGAGGATATCCATAGTGATGTGAGTCTCACTGTACACCAATTATTTGCAAGAACTGCAGTACATAAATTATGCCAAATATACAACATGATAATTGTAAAATCCATGTTAAATTGCATAGAGCTGACAGATATATTTGGAGGATCAAAAGTCCATAACACAGAGCAGAATCAGCCCCAAGCAGGAGCTGACACGGACGTGGTGTGGCCATGCCAGAGGGTGTGAGGGGACAGGGGCTGAGATAAGGCTGGGCTAGGAGCCATCTCAGGAGACATTTGCCACACACTCGTTTTTCCTGCAGCAGAGAAGTCAAAGGACTCAAAGAGCAGCAAAAGGAGTGGTCAGCCACAAGCAGTGAGGAACTAATAGTGCTGACAACCCCCATTATTCCCAGGCCACTCCAAGCACAGACCCCACATCAGCCCATGCCGTGTGCTCCAGAGAAATGGGGACACAAGGGAAGGGACAGAGCAGCTCAGGTCAGGGCTGGCACAGCCCAGTGTCTCAGCTGGAGCTGTCTGTACATAACCACCATTTGAGACTAATCACACTGTTATTTGCTGGGCAGAAATTCTCCCTCCCTGTACAGCAGGAAGCACAGCACTGATTCCTGCCTTTATTTCACTACAGGAGTGAGTGAAACCTTCCTCTGCCAGGAGAGCCAAGCTGGGTTCACAGCCTGCAAATTTCCACAGAACAGAACTACCGAGCAGAGAGGCTGATTCTTAAAACAAGGATTCAGAGCTTGACGCTCACTAGCGTTTTCACATTTCCATTTTAAATCAGCCTCTCAGTATGGACATTCCCTCAGAGTCAGTGGATTTCCACTGAGATTACAGCGTCAGAATAAGGAACAACTGGTGATCACCTGACTTGCCACAGCCTCGTTGAGTGTAAAACTATAAAACAACCACAGTTGTACCCAAAGTTTGTTCCTATGAAGATGATCCCAAGTCACAGGTCTCACACCATTAACAATGAAGATCACAAAAGTGTACATGAAGATGAAATTGTGCAGTAGAAAGCAAAATGATGGGACGATGGACCTGAAACTGCCCTGGCAAACTCATACTGTAAACCACCAAAAAAATCCTGTTCCTGTCAGAGCAGGCCTTGTCAGAAACAGGGCTGGGTAACATGAAACATTTATTGCAACACCACCTTTAGAAAGGGAAATGGAAGCCACAAGGAGGACAAGAGCAAGAATAAGATTTCTGGTGAACTCTGCATGACACACATGACTAGGAACTTGGAATTCAAGATGTAAGGTTTTAGTTCAGTCTGTGAGAGACAGAAGATTCCATTCTCGTGGTAAGCAGGTAACAGAGCCAGAGGGACAGGCACAGCTGAAGCTCCAGGAGTAGAACAGGAGTCACTGGTAAGAGGGGAAACAAACTGACAGCCCGATGTGGGGGTGATGGAGCCTGGCCAGACAGCAGGTACAGTGCAAGAGAGGCTGCTCAGGGAGTGTCAGCAGGACACAGCAGCAACTACAGCACCTCCATGGAGCACAGAACCCACTCTGCCAGAGCAGAGCTGACCCCTGCAGGACAGGATCTTCTCCCTGAAAGCAGCAAGCTCCAAGAGCTTTCACAGACCTCACAACAAACTCGGCTACATTCTGTAACAGCCCAGCCTTCACTGGGCAATTTCTGTCCTGGCCAGATATGGCAACTTCCCCATTCCTGGCACTTACCAGCCTCTCTGCCACCCATTCCCTCAAACTGGGAGAGGCAGAAACCAGCACCGCAGAGGTGGCAGGAACAAACATGACAAAAGGAAACAGAAATACTGGAGTGGCTTATGAAAAGAAACTGAAAGAAAAAGAATGGGAAGGCACCAACATAATCTGGCTCTTTGCTTCCCAAAATCTCAGTTAACACCATGTAATGTACATCCTCTGGATACGGACAATATGGTACGAGATTAATTCACGTTTCACTGCTGAATGCCCCAAGTAACCCGACTTTCCACTCAGCAATCTAGCAATCTTTTAAGAGGCAATTTTAGGAATATGTGAGCTTTTGTCCAGAAGCTTCATCTTCAACGCTGGCCAGAGTGCAGCAAACTCTAAACATGCTATACCGCTAAATAACATTTAAAAAACAATATACAACCTTTTCTAAAATTTGTTTTTCATACACGCCTTTAAACCAACATCGTGTTACCTACAGAGACAGCTCCTGGCAACCTCATCCTGAGGCTCTGACGAGTACCTAAAGCCTGGTGACTCAGCGTGCACACAGCCAGAACAAGGACAAACCCTGCTGGACACGCTCTCCATCAACAACACCAGGTGTACAGATGGCTGAAATTACCATTCCACTTACATTTTGCTCCTCTGGTTCTAATTTTGGAATTTTGTGTGACTTGCGCTCTTCCGACCGGGAAGAGTCATGCTTGCTACTTTTTTTCCTTTTCTCTTTCCTCCCTTCATGTTTTGCCTTAGCGTATTCCCTCGCTTGGACTTCATTCAACAGGTCCCCACACAGGGAGGACTCAAACAATTCCCTGCCGTTCTGGATAGTTTTGGTTATTTTGAGTTTGATCTCTGGTGAGCCAGTCTTCTTTGGAATGCCCACTTGTGGCGCTGAAGGTGGTGCTGGAGGCGGCGGCTGGGGAGGGGAAGGCTTTTCCAGAGCTTCGTGGGGCCTGGCGTTGGAGTTCTCCATTTGGTAATACTCGGGGGGACTGAAGTTCCTGCCGCTGCCAAAGCCATTGGCCGAGCCGTTGGGGTACTGAGGGTAGCTCTGGAATTTGCCCTGGGGCTCGTACATGCCCATGGCCGGGGCGTAGCCGTTGCTGAGCGGGGGCAGCTCCTCTGCCGGGGGGTACTGGAAGCCTTGCTGCAGCGCGGCCTCGTACGGCGTCCGGGCCCCATCCTCGGCAGTGTCACTGCTGCCATCAAAGGCCTCCTCTTGGCGGATGTTGGCCGAGTCAATGAGTTGAGGTGGTTGCTGAATTGTGTTTCCCATGATCCCTTGCATGAAAGAGAAAGAGAAATCCATTGTTCTGCTCCAGCATCCTTAGCTTTCCCTTTTTCTCATAGGGCCTAGAGGCAGGGGAAGGGAAATAAGAAGTCAGTGTAAATTAAAAAACAGTAATTAAGCAAATTAAACAGTTGAGGAAAAAAGGGATCTCAAGAACAATTTCCCCCTCTCTATTCAGCAGCCACCCTCACATGGATTTACAGAGTACTGGTGTTACTGAGCCTTCACAAAGGGTTTCTGACATGTCTTTCATAGGGCAAATTTCTTCTTTTCCAAGACACTGCAAAAAATACCAGAAGCACCTACAAGTGCTTAAGAACTCTAAGGGAAAGTACGACAAAGTCAGAATAATGGTGCCAAAATCCCCAGCACTCTCTAGAGCCTTCCCAGTCATGGCCTAGGAGGGTTATTCCAACCCAAAACAGCAGGACAGGATTTCACCCTGCAGCATGTTAGAGTAGCAAGTTCTCCTGACACAGTCACTGCAAACTGCACAAGCCAGGAACACAGAAAGACAAACAGAGAAATCTCTCCTCCTCCCTCCCCACCTCCTTGCCAAAATTTGAGACATGAGCAGCCTTTGGGCAAGCCACAGGATGCTCTGAACAACAGCACAATGAAAACAAGTGGGTCATTCCACCTTGGCCACTGGGAAACCTCAGAAAGAGCTTCCCAAGCTCTTCCCTCCCCAGAAAAGCAGGGCACAGTTTGCATGCACTGGCTCTCAGCAGCTGTGTGAGCAGGGTTATTCTCCTGCCCCTCACACCTTATCTTAATATTAAGCACTGCATGGCTCTGTGCCTCAGCATCAACAGCCCCCCAGACTGTGAGGTTACTCACTGAATGAGACTCACACCCCTTCACCTTTCCAGTGCACATTAGAACACCAAAAGCAGACTCAATCAAAGTTAGATTTCCAAAACTCAACTGCAGGCTCAGGGAAGGCTTTGGCATTCACGTAAGCAGCTCAATGTTCAACAAGAAGCAACACAGTGACCTGACCTGCAGGTAAGAAACACCAGTTTGCTTCCCACAAAGTTAGTTCAGCCCTTCCAAAGCAAACACGGCCCCATGGTATTTGTTCTGCCCGTGTGGGCACACAGGAGGGTTACTGTGCCCTTTTGGTTTGGGTTAGAAATGACATTAATGCAGCCCACAGACACTTCATCTAAAGGGAATCTCCATTAAACCCTGCCCACATGTAATTCTCACCCTCCCAAAGCCATGCCTCTAAATACCTCAGCTAAGAGCTTTCCTAACACTGAGAACTTCCCTCCTCCAAGACGGCAAAAAGTAACTCCCGTTCCAACAGGAACAGGAACTTGATCAGATCTGTGCTGGATGTTTTGGGGTGATGTTTTTCGATGATCCCCACACTCAGACTAAATTGATGCTTGTCCTCATCTTCACAGCCTGAGTCAAACTTTTGTCACCGTAATTAAGCAATTCAGGGCAATAACAGCACAAGACTCTGCAGCAGAATTTTCTCATTGCAGGAACTTTTAAACCTCGGGGCCATGAAACCATCCCTTCCTTCACAGCTCTGCACATCAGCCAGCAAACCAACACAAGCGTCACTGTCGGGGGGACAGACCTGAGGAGCAGCACGTGGGATTGCACAGCAAGGTCAAAAACCCAACCACCCCTGTTCTAGGAAGAGGAAGTGGGGCTGTTTGTACTATTTATTTTACCACCAAATTGTTACTTTCCATCTGCCAAACCGAAGAGCAAACAGTAAATTCTCACACTAGGCTGGGTTTTACTTCTTACTAAATCACTTCAATCTTTTCTTCAGAATATTTATAAAAAACTCGTGGGAAGCTGTGGCAGCACTTCAGGAACATCCACAGCTGGATGGGCCCAGCCCCAGCTGCCAGTGCAGCTCCCACAGGCTCTGCAGAGGTGGCTGCATTGTGCTTTGTTTTGTTACATGACAGAAGAGTGGATTAATGAACTTCAGAGCACTGCATTTAGGAGCTACCAGTTAAAGAACAGAGTTATGATTTGTTTGTTTTTAATTCCCTCTGGAGCTCACCCGTGTCCCTCAGCCTGGGTGCCAGCCTGTGCTGCACGGCAGGGACACCCCACCCCAAACGGGCTCCTCAGCAGCTCCGTGCAGAGCCAGGGTCAGGGCTCCACACAACTGCCCCAAAGCACCGAGGCTGCTCCCTGTGCTCCCTCAGCTCTGGCATCACTGCCAGCTCCCTCCTGCCCAGTCCCTGCTGCCAGCACTGCTCACACACCTTTCCCACCCTCCTTCCCAAAATTCTGCTTGAGTGGATCAGGTCCCACATGCTGCCCAGTGAAGGGGCATCTGGGCAGGATTACAGCCAGAGGACAGGCCCTAGAGCTACCCACAAAAACAGGACACAATGAGGAATCCTGATTTAAATTTAAAGAGGACTCTCAACACCCAAACCAAGGAAGGATCACTCTGTGTATGTCCCTCCTGAGCACTGATGTGAAGAACACCCCACTGTCACCACAGAGAGCTGTGCCTGCCACACCACTCAGACCACAGGGCAACAGGATTTCCAGCTGATCTTGCAGGAAAGTATTCCAGAATAAATTCTTCTCACTATGCCAGTGATTGCTCTATTAACCCACCGTGTCAGCCTCCTGTGAGTTGTACAATTTGGCTTCCAAACATGACCCATAACAGATCCTGCACTGGAGATCAGCAGATAAAGAAACAGTTCCATCACTTCAAGGTTTATAGGAAATGGACACTTCACAGCGAATGCAAACAACTTGAAATCAACAATGAAACCATTTGAAATTAACACTTCCGAAAGTGCAGCTGCATTCCCTAACGAGAGAAAGAGTTTCCTCTTTAAAGGTGAGTGTCCACAATTCTATGCTGGTCCTTTTCCAGACAGGGACACAGGACCCTTTACAAACACCAAGACTCAACACACCTTCAGTAAATATTTTCCTGCCACCCATGGGAGAGTCATAATCCAAAGTAACAAGAGGAAAAGGTAAATGGAAAAAAGTAAGCAGAATAAGGCAGGTCAGCCTAGTGGAGCTCCCTCTTAAGTGAACACTGTTTGTTACAGTTCCCATCCCAAGATTCTCAGCTCAACTGAGCACAACTCAAATCAGTTCCACTCCAAGCCTAAGTGCTCAGTGAGAGGAAGGTTTTGCAGAGATTATGGATCCACCAGGTTCACCCTTTCACCAACAACTGCACTTATCTAAAACCAGCTTTAGCATGAGTATTTTTGAACTTTGCTCTCAGAAAACAAGACTTGAAGTTCTCAAACCTTGCTTCCATGCTGCATTAGACTAAATAACAACTAACCTCAGATCATCAAACAATTCCAATCCCATGTGATCACATCTTTTCTTATTCCCAACCAGGGAGTTCTGTACGTTTGGCTGAGACTGGCTGTGGTCACAGCAGAGAGAAACCCAACAGCCACTGATGAAAGTCCAGCACACACATATTTTAAACAGAGGTTTCACAAAACCTTTTTCTGCCGTTTTCTGCTGACAATCCCCACGCAGGGTTAGCACAGCCAGAGGTAAGGTGTTCTATGGATGGCAAGTGTGTGTTGTGAGACAGGACCTGGCCTGCTGGCTCCCTAAAGGAGCTGGAGGCTCTGCTGTGAGTCAGCCACTGCCTCGTCACCCTGAGCTGGGCTTTCTATCAACAGGCTCAAAAGCAGAAGTTCCAGGACATCTTTCTGTCCAAATACCAACCCAGTTCCTGTGCACACAGACCTAAGCCAGAGAGATGCAAACCTCTGCTCACATCCTACCAAGACCCCACAGGTGTCTACTGCCATTTCCTGTGCTGTTTCATCCCAAAGTATCCAACCTGCACTGGTGCTGTCTCCTCAAGCACCAACACAGCAGCTGCTCTCAGTATCTGTTCAGTGCTGCAGGTGTTGGACAGACACACAGACAGAGCTGCCTGGCTGGCCAGGCCAGGTGTCTGAAGTGATGCAATCGCTCCTGACCTCTCAAAACCTTAAGCCTGCAGTTCACACACACCCAGCACCTCACTCCTCCCCAGAGCTGAGCATACCCACGGCTTCTGGTCACATTAACCATGACCCAGAGGGACACCTCTGTGACCTGCAACACCATCCTGGTGGGGCAGAACTGTATGAACCGCAGATAGAAATAAAACACTCGTTCCTACTAATCTCTGCATTCAGTCTGTGCAATCTGCTTCGTACCATTCTTCTCTGCATGTCCTTAACAAATCCCCCAGGCAAAGCTCTGTTTGCACACGTTAAGACAACGCCAAATTTTCACCTGCACGTGGGTCTTTAACAGGAAACCTGCAGCCTGTGGATTTTTCCTGACTCCAGCTGGACTGAGCTGTTCCTCCTGGCAGACACCAGCGGTGAATCAGAGGCCTCTTGACAAACTTGAAAGCATGAGGTGAGGCTGCTTCCCTGTGCACCTTTGTAAAGGTGTTCTGTATTTGGTTTCTGAATGCCAGAAAAAACAGTCACGTCTGTAACTGGGCTTGATAAGGGCTTTTGGAAGAAGTTTCCCACGGTGCTGTGGAAAGAAACAACTTGGACAGCAGAGAAAAGGGGTTTGTCTGAAAAAGGAGCTCAGAGACTCATTTGTTTAGAGAGTCGTGTGATTCAAATGGAAAACACGGAGCAAAAACTTCGGATCTTCAGGAAAAGTCATGGGCTAATACTGCTATAAAACCAGAACTCAGATTTCTGGCAACACCAAACACTGTAACGTTGTGACAGGCAGTCACATCACAGCCAGGGCAAGAACCACAGCGTGTCTCACACAAACCCCCTCAAACTCAGGCAAAGCCGTGAAACTGGAAAATGCAGAACATGTTTGTATTGAAACAAACCAGAGTCTTTGACCAGCATCCTCCATTCCTACTCCGTACCTTCACATTGCACGCGCTTAGGTTTTGGAACAAAATCTTTTCAAGCAGTTCATAAAAATAAATAATAAAAAGAAATAGATATAACTACCAAGGCATTCACTGTGCATCTCTGCAAAAGGTCACTGAAAGACTTTTACAGTCATCAAAGCAGGCTACCTTTTTCCTTCAACTATAACTACTGGCTACTTAATATTGCCCTTTGAGCCAGTTAGTATCTGTAGAACTATGTCATCATTAAGACTTTTAACAACAAATTGCACTGAAACGACTGAGTGTATCCACAGCGAAATGAAAGCACAGCGAGACCACAACAAAGTGCAGCACAACGCAACAGCACCGCAAAAAAAATAACATCAGAGCAACAACAAACCCTGCGCTGCCGCGCAGCGCTTCCCGCGCGCAGTAAAACCTTTTCCGCGAGCTGCGGGGGCCGCGGCACCGTGACACCGGCGGCACCGCGACACCGGCGGCACCGCGACACCGGCGGCCCCGCTTGGGTGAAAGCCCCAAATTCTCAGCCGGTCGGGGCGGCCCCGGTGAGAGCCGCGGGGCCGGAACGGGGAGCGCGGGGCGGGCCGGAGGGGCAGCGCGGGGGTCCCGCGGCACGGCACCGAGCCCGGCCGAGCCGGGGCCTGTCCTGGCCGGGCTCTGCCCTGCCCAGGCTCTGTCCCGGGCCCGGCCCCGCCGCCCCGGTGCCGCCGCAGCTCCCGCAGCAACATGGCGGCCGCGGCCCCTCCGCCCCGGGGCCGCCGCGGCCCCGCGCTCACCTTCAGTCAGTTCCATTCTCACGGCCCCGCCGCGTCCGCCCGGCCCCGCGCAGACAAAGGCGGCGGCGGGGGCGGCGCGGGGCCTCCGCCTCCTCCTCCCGCAGCACCAGCAAGGCCGCGACGGAGCCCCGGCCTCGATTTCCGCGCCCCCGCCGCTGGCGCCGGCTCCGCCCCGGGGAGGCCGCCCGCCCCCAGCGCCCGCCGCGGCCGAGGGAGGCGCTGGCGGGGCCCGGCGGGTCCGGCGGGTCGGCGGCCGAGGGAGGCGCTGGCGGCGGCGGCGCTGGAGCGGCTGTGCCGGTGCGGCCCCGCCGAGCGCCTCCGCCTCCGCCCGCCCCCCGCCGCCGCCGCACTACGCAGCCGCGCGCGCACGCGCCGCCATCACCCATTGGCCGCTCGGGCGGTGCCCGCCGCAAGGCACCGCGGGAGATGTAGTTCGGGCGGGGGAGGCGGTGGAGTGACCCCCGAGGGGACCCGGGGAGAAGAGAGGACTGGGCGGGATTTGTGTCCATTTCTGGGCTCCTGGGACAAGAGGGACAAGGGGCTGGGCTGGGAACAGCTCTAAGAAAGGAAATTTAAAAAGCGATTCTGCTTCACTTTAGGGATCTTCCTAAAGGCGCTTGCAGAGCACACGAACATCCATAGATGAGTCTCCTTAGGAGCAGGAGAGGAGACTCATCTATTTCCCTCATTCTCACAGGAATATCTCTTTTAGACGTAATCTAAATGTGTTTAAATTCCAGTTTTGTACTGGGAGCTCTGGCAGCAGACTCGGGAGCTCTGTCCCCTTTTTCACCCATCTATGTCATTTTATTTCCTGCTTTTAAAAAGACTGTTCATCTGTTTGAGAATCCATTAGCCAAAGAGTTCCAGACCCTTTTTTCAGTAGGGCAATTAAGTGTTTTTTCCCCCTCTAGTCTCTGAAAACCAGGTAGTATTTTAATAGAATCTCAGAATGCCTTGGGTTGGAAGGTACTTAAAAATTTCAAGGGATCAAGTCACCTGTAACCTGCTGAGAGCTTTTCTCCAGCTGTCAGTGTGTTCCATCTCAAGGCCATTCCCCGAATGCAGAGGAGTCTCTGCTCTGCTGTCCCATCACACACAGAGCTGCTCCCGAGGGGTTTTGTATATTTATGGGCACTGTATGGACAGAGACTATTGACAAGGACCCGCAGTGACAGGAAAGGGGAAACGGCTTCCCACGGCCAGGGGATACAGGGAAGGACTCCTCCCTGCCAGGGTGGAGAGGCCCTGGCACAGGCTGCTCAGTGAAGCTGTGGCTGCCCCGTCCCCGGACGTGTCCGAGGCAGGGACGGACGGGGATGGTGGGAGGTTCCCTGCCCACGACAGGGGCTGGCACTGGATGCGCTCTAGGGCCCCGTGACGGGGAGCGGCGGGTCCCGCCCGGGCAGGTCCCGGTGCGGCTCCTCCAGAGGCTTCACGACCCCGCGGGCCGGTCCCGAGCACATGACGTCATGCACAACTCTCCGTTTCGCGATGGCGTCACGCACCGGCCCGTGAAATCGACACCCGCGCGCCGCCGCCGTTCTCGCACCCAATCAGCGGCTTTTCCCGGGGGCTCCTCGGGTCAGGCCGCGCCCCGCTCCGCTCCCATTGGGCGGGCCTCCAGCAGGGCCGGCATTCTGACGTCTGACTGGCTAACGTCGAGGAGGCGCGGTGCTGCGCGATGGCGTCACGGCGCAACCACCACAGAGCGGCGACGGGTCAGAGCGGCGCGTGCGGGGCACGACGGGACGGGTGGGAGGGCCGGGAGGAGTGCGGCCGGCGGAACCGGAACCGGCACCAGGACCGGCACCGGTACCAGGAGCAGGACCGGGATCACCATCAGTGGATCGGTGGACCGGCATTGACACGAACACAGAGACCGGAGAGAGGCAGCGCAGCCCGGCCGGCTCAGCCGGGGGCCCGTGGGAGCGCCAGGCAGCGGTTCAGAGATGGGTCCGGCCAGGCCCCGGTGCCCCCCGGTGCCCCCCGGAGCTGCCGCCGCCCCCCGCCGCTGCCGGGGCTGAGGTTCCGCCGCCCCCGGCCCAGCCATGGCTGCGTGCGGCTGTAACGCGCTCCTGGCCGCGGCCAGGGCCAGGTGAGCCCCGCAGTGCCCCGGGCTCTGTTCCGCGCGGGGTGGGCATGAACCGTGGGGGGGTTGTTCGCAGCTTCCTCGTTTATCGCATTGCCTGGTTAAAGGGCTCCGAGAGACGCTACGGAGGTTCCCCCGAGAGATGAGTTGCTAGCACAGGACAAGTTGTCAGTATTTCAGCTGTTGCTGAAGGATCGGGGTCTCAGCCACAAAATCAATTTTACGAGGTTGATTTGGTGCTGAGCAGGGTGTGATGCCTCGGCACTTTGTTCTCACTGCACTGATCTTAACTGAAACCACTCTCCAGTTTCAGGGGCTCCCATCTCCTGGCGCACTCCAGCCCTCTGTACTCTCCAGCCGTCGCTCTTGTCCAGCTGGTGGATTCCCAGTTAACCCGGACTTCAAGAGACTCCAGAGCCCACCCCTGGCCACGCCATGCCTGCCTGGGCGCTGCCCTGCCTCGCTCACCTGCCCACACCTTGCACACCAGCCCACGGCAGCAGCTCCCACGTGAATCCCTGCCCAGCCAAAATACCAGAAACCAGGGAGCTAAACCTGCTAAGATTCTGACAAAGCAGGTCATAGAGGCTCCTGGGGGAAAAAAGTCCTTGCGACAAAGAGCTGTGGATGAGCTGAAGTATTACTACCATGGATTCCACCTGCTCTGGACTGACACCAAGGTGGCTGCCAGGATGGTGTGGAGGCTGCTCCACGGGCAGGTGCTCACCAGGAGGGAGAGGCGAAGGGTAAGTGCCACAACACCTACATAAAGTGATGCAATAAGAGGCTTAACCCCTTCTTTGGACACATTTTGTGTGTCTGGCTGAGTGATAATCTCAGGGTAATCTGTGCTGTGCTCTTCTCCGTGCAGCTGCTGAGAACTTGTGCAGATCTCTTCCGCCTGGTTCCCTTCCTGGTGTTTGTCATTGTCCCCTTCATGGAGTTTCTGTTACCTGTGTTCCTGAAGCTCTTCCCTCAAATGCTGCCCTCGACGTTTGAGACGGAGTCAAAAAAGGTTTGTGTCCTCTCTGAGGCTGTGGAGTGTCCACAGCTCCTCAGAACATCTGTGCAGCTGTGCAGGGCTGCTGTTCCCTGCCTGCTGCTGCATGTGAGGATCAGCCTCACCCAGTGCATGAGACATTCCCAGCTTATTCCTGAGCTGAGTGGGGCAGTTGGAAGGCAGTTGGAAGGCGGGATCAGAAGGAATGTGCACAGCAATTCCATTTCCTACATCACATTTTCTAATTTATAATTCTGTATTTCCCAAATGAAGGAAGAAAAGCTGAAGAAGAAGTTAAATGCAAGGCTGGAGTTAGCCAAGTTCCTGCGGGAGACCATTGCAGAGATGGCCAAAAGGAACAAAGCAGACACAGGACAAGGGAAGCAATTCTCCTCTTACCTGCATGAGGTAGGACAGGCTGGGGGTGGCAGGCATGGCACAGACACACCTTTAGTGCTGCTGGTTTGGGCAGAGAGCACGGGATTTGTACCAGGGTTGTGGACAGAGCTGCCCTGCCAGGTGCTGTTCCCTGGGTGCCTCCCTGCTGACCCTGCTGTCAGAGCCCTGCTCACAGGAATTCCCATCCTGGAAGGGTGCACCTTTCACCCTGTGAAACTTCCAGTGGCCACTCAATAACAGTTTCACTTTAACCTTTAACTGTATCATCCTGTCTCCACCAGGGACGGGAATTCCAGTGTGAGGAAGGGGAATGGGGGAGGAGATTCCCACCCTGCTCAGGTTTGATTTGTGCTCGGTTCAGATCCGCCCCAGCGGCCACCAGCCCAGCACGCAGGAGATCGTGCGTTTCTCCAAGCTCTTCGAGGACGAGCTGACCCTGGAGCACCTGGAGAGGCCCCAGCTGGTGGCTCTGTGCAAGCTGCTGGAGCTGCAGCCCCTGGGCACCAACAACCTGCTGCGCTTCCAGCTGCTGCTGCGGCTGCGCAGCATCAAGGCCGATGACGAGGTGGGTGTGCAGCTGCACGGGGGAGCTGCTGGTGCTGGCACCAGCCTCGTGTCCCTGCCCACTCACCCCCACAGCAGGGGAGTCAGATCCTCCCTGTCAGAGATTCCAGAAGGAAACACAATCAGAGTTCATCTCCCTGCACTCCTGCAGGCTTTGGGGAACTGTAATGAAGGTGGCATTGCAGATGTTGTCACTAGAATATTTTGTTTTAGAGTTTTAGAAAAAAGGGATGTTTTTCAATGTGCAATGGGGTTGTTTGGAAAATAGAGTCAGACTCACAGGTGCAGAGTGGAGGGACAGCAGCTAATGGCCGTAAGTTGCAGCAAGGGGAGTTTCAAGTTGATAAGAAAAAAAATTAAAATCAGTGAGTAGGTAAACAGGGGAACGGGTTGTCTGGAAGATGTCAAATCCCATACTTAAAGAGGCTCAAAGCACAAATGGAAAATGCTGAGCAGTTTTGAACAGGAGATTGGACTGGGGACCTCCAGAAGTCCGTTCAGGTACAACAAGGTCTTGGCCTGCTCTGTGCCTGGATGGGAACGTTGCTGTTCATTTGTTCATTCCAGATGATTGCCAAGGAGGGGGTCAGTGGCCTGAGCGTGTCAGAGCTGCAGAGCGCCTGCAGGGCCAGAGGAATGCGGTCACTGGGGCTCACTGAGGAGCAGCTGAAGGAGCAGCTTGGGCAGGTGAGTGTGCCCTGGCCTGGGCTGCTGTGGCCAGGTTCCTCAGAGGACAGGTGCAGCAGGCACAGCTTCCTGAGAATTCATGCACGAGTTTCAAGCCGGATCCTCACCTGCAGATCTAAGCTCTAAGGCACAAAGGGTCCAGGTTATGTCCTAGACGAAAGAGAAAACCAAATAGAACAAGGGCCAGATAGAAGCAAGGTGAAGTGGGGGCTATTCTTAACTCTTCAGACCCATTTTTTCTCATTATGGTAACTTAAAACTGTATTATCCAAACTCAAGATTGCTTTAAGGACAAAGAGTGTAGTATTAACAAATACCCACATAGAGCCAATATGAAGCAACTTTTCCTTCTGTTTTCTTCCAACAGTGGCTGGATCTGCATTTGAAGGAGAACGTTCCTTCTTCTCTCCTCCTGCTTTCCCGTGCCTTGTACTTAATAGACCTGAAGCCACAATCTGTTCCCATTCCACAGAGCAAGGCAAGTTGTTTGAATAAAACTTTTGGGTTAATAGCTCAACCATTATACATTTTAAAAATGAAGGACTGTGACAGGAACCTTGTTTTTTGATCGTACAAGTGGACTGAAGTTATGCCTCTGTGTTCTTCTGCAGACAGGTGAAGCTGCAGGAGTGATGACATCTGTGCTTGAAGGTCAGGAGACCCTCCTGGATCCTGCCCCTGTTGTACAGGGAAGAAAGGTTAGAAATAGCAGTTTGCAAGCAGGAAAACATGTGCTGAAATCATTGGGAATTGAGTGTGACCAAAGCTTTCCAAAGCTGGACAAAACCAATGTTTGACACCATGGCACAGAGCACGAGCAGTGTCTGTTCTTGCACTGTGTGGATCTTTCCCCCCAAGAGCCTCACAGCTGCATGTTCTGATTTAAGAGGCAAGGGAAGGGAACAGGGATCTGCTGTGACAAACTGGTCCTGTGGCTGGGAACAGCTGGTTACTCAGTACCATGGTACTGGCTCCCAGCCAGGGAGGACTGCACTGAACTGCTTCAGGCCTCAGCCCAGGTACATTCAGCTCAGAGAAGCCAGTTAAAGAGGACTTGTTTTTAGCCCTCTCACTGAATTTGGGTTCAGTTGTCCAGGACAAAATGAGCCAAAATATCTAGAGTAAGGAAGCCAGAGCATATGGTTCTCAGCATCACGCTGCAGTGAATTCCTTAGATTAGTCCCAGCTGATAAAAGCAGCAGCAGGAATCAAAGAATATTGTATCAACTGCCAGAAATATTTCCACATAGTTAAATTGTGCTGGGGAAACAATGGAAATGCCAGCATAGCTTTCAGAGTGAGCAGGGAACAGCCTTGCTCAGGAGGGAGAAGGGGCTGGGGGGTTCAGCCCTTTCCAAGGGGGTTCTGTGACTTACAGCTGCTTTTTCCTTAAAGAATGAAGAATTTGTGTCCCAGCCAACAGAGAAATTGCCATTCTCAGAAGCGTCAGTGAAGCCTCCCCCACGAGAGGTGAGCTTGTCAGAGTTCTTCCACCTCCCAAAAGAGATTCTTCTTCACACAGCTTGCAGCCAAAGCGTGGAAGTTCATAGTACAGGATGCTGTGAACACTGGGTTCAAGGAGCAGCTGGAGAAACTGGATGAGAACTGCACTGAGGGCTATTCAATACAAAAATGGCACATGACAGAGAGCAGCAAACTGGAGGAGGGAGCAGAGCACTGGGGGAATTACTGGTATATCCTTGTACTCTTCCTTAATAATCTGCCTTGGGCCACTAGGACAGAGCAGCCTTCCCTTGGAGTCACCAGGGTGGTAAGAGCCACTTCCTATCTGTAAAAATATTTCTGCAGTGATTGCCTTTGTTTTGCCCATTTTCTTTCTGTGAATATTTGATTTCAGTTTAGGTGCTTTTGTGCACGTCTGGGATGCGAGTTTGGGAGTCCAGACAGACTCCTGTCTCCTTTAACCTGAAGAACTTTGCTCCTCATCAGCTGTTACCCTCCAGAGCAGCTTCCCATGCTAAACGGGAAGACACCTTCAGAAAAGATTCTGGATTTCAAGAAACATTTGTACTGTCTAAAACCTGCTCTTTTCTTTTGCCCCTAGACCAAAATGGAAGCATCCCAGAGCAGCAAGGCTGGTGCCAATGGAGCCTAAGCTGGAGGCAGCACTGGGAGGAAGCAGCTTCCATCTCCACACTCCTGCAAAGGGAACAGGGGTTTCCCAGGAGGCTGCTCTACACAACAAGGCAGTAGCCCTCAGGAGCCTCTCTCTCTGTCCCAAGCTTGTTAGCAACTAGCACTGCTGTCTGGATGGCCCCAGACATCTCTTTTGTGCTGGATCCTTGCCCTGCTACTTTTAACTTATGGTGTAAATATGTTAATAATGGTGCTGCTGTCTGTGCTGTTCCTGAGCAGGTGTTTGTGCTTAGCAAAGGCAGCTTTTCATGTCAGAGCAGGCTGGGCTGGGGGTCCAGCAAAGCCTGTTCTGAGTGTTAAATCCTCTGCAGGAACATCCCCCCCACTCCCAGGGCCAGCAGCTTGTCCTGGGTGTCACAGCTCAGGCTCTTGGTCCTGGTTAGGGTATTGTAACCAATGACCAGCCCACAAGGACCCACTGGCCACAGTTTTACTGAGGAGGGTAAGCACAGGGAAGGAGCTGTGGCAGAACAGATCAGGACTTCAGGCCTTGCTGGACAGGAGACAGAGCTCTCCCACAGAGCAGTGACAGGAACAGCCTCCACCTGGGAGTGTTGCTTCCCCAGTGAGAGCTGTGCAGGTGCCACACACTGTGACAGAATCAGACTTGCACTTTCAGGATCCCCCTGGGCCACATGAGGAGCAGCCAGGGACCTGCACACTTTTCCCAAGCGTGGAGATTTGGTTAATCCTTCCCAGGCTCAGAATACACTCCAGGTGCTCTCCATACTTCACAAAGTGACTCCTCACACGCTCTAGTGATGACTCAGTTTTTGCCAGAGTTTCAGAGGATACTGAAAAGCTGTTTTTAGCATTTGTTAAATTTTTTACTCTGTCCTATGTAAATGCTGAGAAATGACTTACATTATGGATTTTAAATACGTATATTTATACTTACTGTAAAATTAGATTTGGTGCTAAGTAGGAATGAAATGTCTCTTCCAGAGGTCAGACAGCTTTTAGAACAACCCGACTGAAAGCCAGTTCTCCAAGGTCAGGTGTGAGCAGCACTTTAAACCTGAGGCCCCAGGCTCCTACAGCAACACAGAGCCAGCTGTCAGGAGTTCTGTGTCCTTAGCTCTGTACCTGAACCTCTCCTTGTTCACCCAGCCCACCTGCAGTGCTGGACCTGTGTCTAATAAATGGGAGCAAATGTTATTTCAATAAAATAACACCTTTGCTGTGGAGTCACTGCTGCCTCTTAGCGCCGTAACGAGGGAAGGCATCTCCTCCCACCTGGTGTTCCTGTGACTGCTGCACTCCCAAACCCTGCTGAATTTCTCCTGGCAGCCTCTGGAGCCCCGGGGATGTTTGGGGTGATCAGGTAACGGCTCCTTCATTTGCCAGGTGGGCTCCAGCAGCCCGGAGAGCTTCCTGCTCCATCCCAGCACCGACCTGTGCGTGCTCCCAGCGCCCGCTCAGCTCCTGCCCGGCAGCCCTGGCTCCAGGAGGAGGGAGAGGAGGAGGCTGGCGAGTGTCCTGGGCGGGATGAAGGCAGAGCCAGCCAGCACCGGCTGCCGAGGGAGCAGCACATTCCTCTGTGAGAGCTTTCACAGATGGACAGAGAAGAGGGGCTGGCGGGGAGCCCGGGCATCGCCTGGGCACTGCCCTGCCCTGGGCGAGCTCTGGTGCCTCCCGTGGCCCTCCAGCCACGCACCACCACCACGTCACACTGCTGTGTGTGCAGGGGCTCGTGTGTCCCACTGCCTCCTGTGTTTCCAATTTAGAAAGATCTGGAAGCTGGGACTCGCCGTTCCTTGGATTTCCTGTGGTGACCACCAGCCCCACACCGTGTTCAGCCTGGAGGGAGCACAGGCAAAGCCTGGCTGCACCAGGGGAGCCGGGCCTGGAACAGGCACAGGGAGATGAACCCGAGGCAATTCCTTACCTCTGAACAAACCTATTTCCAGCTCAGAAATGCCCTCCTCCCCCAGCCCTGCAGGGCTCTCTGGGGGATGTGCCCAGGTCTCACCTCTGCCTGGCATGTCGGGACCCCAGGCACCTTCCCAGGACCCCTGAACCCTGCAGGCACACACAGGGGAGGGGCAGCAATTCTGCTCCATGACCTTCGGAGCGAGGGGAGGAAACGACCCCCGTGGAGCCCCATAAATCACGGGATTCTGTTCTGCAACATCAGGCAAATGAAACGCTGCAGAGATCCAAGGCCGTGTGTGCTTTGGCGTGGGGAGAGCTTTTCCAGCCACGCCACTGCCAAACACCTTCCAGTCTCCCCTCAGCCTGGAGAACCAGCTCCTCCGCTGTTTATCCTTCCCCCAGGCACCCTCACAGTGTCACAGCCCAGCCTGGAGCCGGCTGTTGTGGTGCCCGTGCCCGTCCCACCCTGCCCAGGACTCGGGGATTTCTGCTGGATGCTGCTCCTGTGCCAGCGCCAGCCCTGGGCCTTGCGTCAGCCTCTTCCCCAGAAAGCTGCTGGGGAAAGATGCCCCGGTCAGCACTTTTGGAGGAGATTAGTATTCAGAGGGAAAAGCGGTGATTTAGTGCGGCCCAAGCACAACAAAGGCTGGGATTTACAGCTCCCGGATCCCAGCACCACATTCCTGCAGCCCTTCTGCCTCTGCTGTAAACGTGTAATAAAGGAAAAGGAGATTTATCCCAGCCTAAAGTCATGTGGGACAAGGGCTCCGTGTCAAACCTCGCATGGAGTGGGATGGGGTGCAGGTGGAAATGTCCCCAAGGTGTCCCCAGGGATGGTCCCATCCCTCTGCCCGTCAAGGTGTCCATCCTGCCTCTCCTCCTGGTGCCTGCATGGTGCAGGGCAGGGCTCAGGACAGCCAGGGTTTGGGGGAGCCACGGGACCCTGTGCCAAGGTGGGAAGGCACAGGAGGTTCCTGCCATGGCTGGCAAGGGGACAAAGCCCAGCTCAGCGCTGGCAGAGCAGCCACGTCCTGGGCTGGGGCCAAGAGATTGTCCTGGCCCTGCACAGTCCGAGGGCTTTAAAAGGAGAGAACGAGGAAGGCGAGGAGTGCAGAAGACAAAGGATGCTGCGAGAGCCAAACGTGGCACAGGCCAAGCACTCAGCAGCCACTGATGCCCAACACACCCCACCCCCCTGGGGCTCCTCAGGGCAGCACCTTCAGATCCTCCACTGCTCTGGAGCCATTTCCCAAGGGACCCTATCCCATCTCCCTCCTAAGCAGAGACTTGGTGCTGGGCAGGGTCCCAGCTGGGGGGTGCTTTGGTCCTGCAGGTCCCCCAAAGCACTGGGTGGGACCCGTGGGGTGCTGAGGCCAGTTTTGGGGTATGCCCATCTCCCAGACTGCCCACGTGGAGAGGATGGCTTACCGGGAAGAGCAGAGAGGAGCTGGATCTCCCTGCTGGGCTCCAGCACGCAGGCAGCCCCGTCCCATCAGTGCCCGGGGTCTGTGCTGGTGCCAGGCAGGGCAGCACCCGGGGACCCCCCATGCCCGTGTCCCCACGGGATGCAGGGGGCTCCCAGCTGGGTGCCCCTTGCCCAGCCCGGCAGGGAGCACCAGCAGCTCTGCTGCAGCTGCTCTGCTTATTATCATATTTAATTGCCCTCCTGGTAACCCCAGGAAATGAGCAGGAGACGGTGAGAGCTGCAGTTTGGGATGATGTAAACACCAAGTCCAGCTCTCCCTGCTCCTCGCCAAGCCGGGCCCGCAGAGAGCAGTGATTTATGGAGCCCCCCAGCCCTGCTCCCCCCGCCTGGGCTGCGAGTTTAATCCAGGGCTGCAAATTCTACATAAATCACTTGATTAAAAGCTCTACTTAATTTAAAGGGGGTGGGGGGTGGGCAGAGTGCAGCTGATCGATTTAATTTACACCGGGAAATAGCAACAAGCAGATGCATTTAAAAAGGCCGGGGAGGCTGGGGGTGCTGCAGCTGCCTCAGTTTAACCATTTCAGGGCTGGGGAGGGGCTGGCAGCCCCTCTCACCCCTCCCTCCACCCACACCACTGCCCGTGGGGTGCAGGCTGCTAAAACATTTTACAGCGAGTGCTGGAGCCGTGGAAAACAGAATTCCCACAAAACCAGCTGCCATCACACGAGCTCCCCGAGCATCATCTTCCCCAATTGCTGCTTGAGCCCCCGGAGCCCTGGCAGCCCCTCCCCATCGCCCCCCCAGCGATGGCCCGAGGGTGGCGGAGTCGCGGTTAAAGTCTTTAATAATTACAAGAATTCCAGATTCATTACAGAAGAGTTTACAACAAATAATATTTCTCCATACAAAGGCAAAATAAACTTTTCAAGTAACAGCGGCCTGGCTCCAGCGTGGGGACGCCGGTGGCAGGGAGGGAGGGGATCCAGGTGAGCTGCCCCGGCCGGGCAGGTAGCAGCTCGGTGGGGCAGAGCTCGGGCAGTGGCGCAGCCCGGGGAGCACGGACGGGCAGGGCTGGGTGAGGCTGCTCCCAGTAAGGCACTGGCACTGCCCGGGGAGCGGGGGCTGGCACCCGGTGTGACCCACGCCCCCCTCCCAGGGCACCGTGCCCATCCCACAGCAGTGCCCTGACCCCCCACACGGGCACTGGGCAGCCCCAGCCCCGCCAGAACCCTGGGAGGGAGCTGGGGGGACGCAGGGCTGGGGCAAGGCCAGGCACGTCATGACAACAGATTCCCAAAAGGCATCGACACATTATTATTATTGTTTAATACAACCCCATATAAAACTGAAGCAGCAGCAGCAATTCTTATCGAGGGACCTAAACTGAAATAGGTTTAGAACATAATTTAAAAAAATAAAAACAGCAAAAATAGCAAAATATATGACTTTTTTTTTTTATAGCAACTGATATCTACCAGCCACTAGTACCTTCCTACCAAACTGGTATATCTCTGGTAACAACCCTTTTTAAAAAGACATGTAAATATATATTCATATTTATACATATTTTTCGTTATGTACACGGGACTCTGGGTTTAGCACAGGTGGGTTCAGTCACCTCTGAGCAGTGCAGGGCTCCTGCCCCGGATGTGCCAGGCCTGGCTCAGCAAAGCCCACTGCTGCTGGCCCTGTGGGGCTGCAGGACCAGCCTGGGGCATCCTGGGCACAGGGGGAGCCCCACACCACGAGGCTCCTGGCACACTGAGGCTCCTGGCACATCAGTGAAGCTCCTGGCACACCAAGGCTCCCCCCTGGTGCAGCTGCAGGAACCGGGTGCTGCTCCTGGCTCTCAGGTTCTTTACCTGGCAGACCAGCCTGGCTCTCTGTGCCCTACCAGGATGTGCCATCCCAGGATGCCTGGCTGGCTCTTTGGCCATGCACTGCCCACGGGAGAGGATTTCAGCTCAGCCAAGTGGGAATACTCAAGCACAGGATTCATGGAGAGGAGGTTCAAAAACAGGAGGAGGAAATGCTATAAAAACAGCAGAGCCGAACCCTTGGGCTGTGCAGAGCTGACAGGAGGTGGCAGGAGAAGCTGGCAGGAGGTGCTTTGGGTGGTTTTGGTTACGTGAGATGCTACAGATGTCTCTGAACCCTTTCTGCAACAGCCCAGCAGCACCAGGCTGTGCAGGCACGTCCACGGGCACGGTGTGGCACAGCACGGCACTCCCCTGGCACTGCCACCCTCAGTGTCGCTTCAGTCCACCATTGCTGTGCTGAGGAGGGAACTTGGGAAGGCACGGCTCGTCCGGGAGCGGGTCGTGGGAAAAAACAGAGTCCTCTCCCGAGGAGCAGGTGGAGCTGCGGGTGTCGGGGAAGCCAGGAGAATACTGATCCAGAGGCATGGAGAGGTCCAGGTACTCCTGAGAGGGACAGACCCCAGGGGTGGGCTCAGGAGGGGACTGGGCAGCCCCCAGGGAGCACCTCAGGGCCACCAGTGCCACCTCTCCTACCTGGTTGGAGGTCATGGCCACGATCCTGTCCAGGTCCTCCACCAGCTGCTTGAAGGTGGGTCTCTGGGAAGGGACGGCGTGCCAGCAATCCCGCATCATCATGTACCTGCCAGGCCAGGGGGGCAGGCAGGGGCTCAGCCCGGGGCAGGCCCTGGGGACCCCACCCACAGGAGCAGAGAAGCACCAGGACCGTGTCCCTGTGCCCAGGCTGGCAGCCAGGGCCAATGGAAGGAATTACCCTGCAGGGATTGAGGGTGATCCCCACGGGGAAGGAAGGGAAACCCTCCTGCCTGCCCTCATGACCAAGGGCTGTCTGGGGAGGAGGGTGGGCACACTCTGGGCTGGTCCCTGTGCTGGGGTCACCCTGGGATTCCCTCCTGTCCAGGGAGATGCTGATTATGCAAATTTGATGGGCTGATGGTTCTGCAGGGCTGGGAACTGCTGGGGCTGTAACTCCAGACATCTGCCTGTCACCCTCCATGCCCCACCCGTGTTCTGGGCCTGGCAATGGCACCGAGAGACTTCAATCCCCTCCTCCCCATCCTAGCACTGCACTCACAGCTCGTTGGTGCAGTTGCTGGGCTTGTCCATCCTGTGACCTTCCTTCAGCAGCTTGAAGAGCTCCTCAACGGGCACACCAGGGTAGGGTGATCCACCCAGCGTGAAAATCTCCCACAGCAGCACCCCAAAGGACCACCTGGGAACACAGGGCAGATGCTGGGACACCAGCTCTGGGGTGCTGACACCCCACTGGGCCCCAGTTTGGGTACAGTGAGAGGTTGGTTTGCAGAGAGGAACAACTCTCCACAGCTTTGATTCACTTTGCAGGATAAACCAGCCCCAGCACCAAACACAATTTGGATTTAAAATGTTTGGCTGGCTGACACCAAGTGCAATTTCAATCAATCAAGACGAATCCCATGCACGCATTCCCCAGGAGGCCCTACTCACACGTCACTCTGGTGGGTGTAGATTCGGTCAAAGAGAGCCTCAGGAGCCATCCACTTCACTGGCAGGCGACCCTGGGACACAAAACCCCACAATGGCTCCAGGGCTGGGAGGGAGCCTGGGGCAGGGCTGAGTGTGGCCCTGCCAGCACAGACTGGAGCATCTCCACCCCACTCACATTTGTGGTCTTCTTGTAGTAATCGATGTGGTGGATGTCACGGGCCAGCCCGAAGTCAGCGATCTTCATCACGTTGTCCTCTGTCACCAGCACGTTCCTGGCTGCCAGGTCCCTGTGGATGCACTGCCCGAGCACGGGGCTGTCAGCTGGACCCCAACAAGTGATGGTTCCCCACCACGGGGGGAAAGGTGCATGGCCCAGGCCCATCCCACCACAGCCTCCTGGAGCTCCTCACCTTCTTGGAGGCCAGGTACTCCATGCCCCGTGCCACCTGGTAGGCACAGGAGACCAGGTCCTTGAAGGAGAGCTGCTCCTCGGGGACACGGGCGGGGTTGTAGCAGTACTCCATGCCCGGGGGCCGCCGTGCCTGCAGGTACTCCCGGAGGTTGCCCTTGCTGGCGTATTCCACGATCACATAGAGGGGTCCTGGGGGGATGCTGTGATCAGAGGCTGCAACACGGAGCCAGGCCAGCCCCTCCCAGTGGACAGCACTGGAGGGGAGGCAGAGGGGACACCCTCCCCATCATGCACCCTCACCATCCTGCGTGCAGGCTCCCAGCAGGTTGATGATGTTCTTGTGCTTGCCAATCATCTTCATCATCTCCATCTCAGAGATGAGGTCAGACAGGTCCTTCTCCGTGGCGTCGGCTGGAGGGGAGCAGGCAGCAGTTAGGGGGTGCCAGGCTGCATACCCCAGACCCCAGCCAGGGCTGTGGCATAGCACCAGGACCACCCTTCCTGCTGCCACTTACACTTGAGCATCTTCACCGCCACCTTGGTCACTCGGTTGGGCTTGTCCTTGTCGAGGCCGATGGCCTCTGCCAGCACCACCTGCCCGAAGCACCCCTCTCCCAAAGGCTTGCCCAGGATCAGCCTGGTGGGAGAAGACCCCGATGCAGGTCAGTCCCAGCAGCAGCAGCAGCAGCAGCCTCCCCCAGGTCCCAGCGGGGCTGGAGCTCACCTGTCCCGGGGCAGCTCCCAGCGAGGGTCCTCGGGGAGCTCGTACTCAGAGACCCCGGCCAGCATGGGGGTGCCGCTGGAGGAGAGGCGCGAGGGCCGCACCAGCATCACGCCCGAGTTCATGGAGGAGCTGGAGTCGGCTGACACCTGCAGGGGGCCGTGGGTTACCCTCACACAGTGCCCAGGCCCGTGGCTGGCTGCCCCCGGGGGGGAGATGGTGATGGGAGCCTTGGTACCCGGCCCTGCCCGCAGCCCCCTGCCCACTCTGCCCGGGTGCTGCCCCCTCTACGGAATTTTTAATTAGTCTCCATCATGCTGTACCCCAAAATGCACAGTCTGGGAGCTCTGCCATGTCCTCAGTGTGTGCCACGCTCTGCTCAAACCTTGCACTGTTGTAAATCCTCCTGGATCTCCTCGTGAGCCCCGTCAAGGGGGAATGGGGGGAGCTGTGCAGCCCCCTCCCCACCCTGCTGCCATTGCAGGCACAGCCTGGACAGTTCCCATCCCGTGCCACTGCTGGGCACAGGCTGGGGTGGGTGGCACATGCAGCAGGGTGAGATGGTCCCGGTGGTTCCCATCCCTCCTCCCCCACACCCCCGGGGAAGGCTGGGCTCCAGGAGAGGCAGTAGGTGCAAACAAACCCCCTCTCTACTTTCTGTTACCTGTCTGCGCAGGGGGATGCTCTTGGCCAGCTTGTGCACGGCCAGCTGGCTGTTGAAGTCTGTCTTCTTGGTGGTGCTCTTCAGCTTGTAGATGATGATGGTCACCACCATGCAGGAGATGAGGAAGGCTCCGATGCAGTAGATGATGATCTCCAGGTAGAAGGGAGATGTCATCATGGCTGGGGTGTCCTCAATAGCTGGGTCAGCGTGAACAGGGCGTTTGTTAGCACCTGCCAGGCCCCAGGGAGTGGCACTGGGGAGCCCCTGGCTCCTCCCCAAGCTCAGTGGGGACCTTGGTGCAGCAGGGACTGAGGGCTGCCCACCCACCCTTGCAGGGAAGGCGTGCAAGCAGCCCCCAGCTCATCCCCATGGCCAAGCAGTGCCTTCACCACCTCTGCAGGCGGCCCAGGGAGGGATGGGGTCAACTGGGACAGGCATGAAGTGGGGGGACAGGGCCTGAGTGACCCCTCAGGGATGTGGCACCACGGGCACCTCTGGGGACAGTTCTCTGTCCCAGCTTGGGAGCTGCAGTCCCTCAGGATCTGGGGTTATGTGTGATGGAATGGGGGGTCTGGCAGAAGTGTCCAGGCTGTGGGAGTCCAGGCCTTACTGGTAATGACTGGGGAGAGCTCGGAACAGAGCAGCCAGTGGCACCCCAGTGGAGGGTGACCTCCTCCCCAGAGGAGGGACCCACAGACCCTCTTTGGTGGCTGAGGTGGTGCTGGAGCCATGCAGAGCTCAGAGCCCGCAGCCACGTGCCACGGTCCGTGGTGAATCCGGCAGGACAGGGCTGTGACTGCACCTTCGGCACCCCCAGCCTGACACCCCCAAAGAGCAGAGCCTCAGAGAGAGGCGTAAGAGGGAGCTGAAGATTCCTGTCCCACCTCTGAGCACACCTGGCTGACAAAGCAGTGGCTGATAACTGGGAAAGTTTTGGCTGGAAAGCAGTGAGCATGCAGCACCCCAAAAGCTTTCCCAGAGCTGTTATCAGGCTTTGGTCCACGCATTGACACTGAGGAGCAGCATCAATGGGGACGGGGCAGCCATCCCCACAGGCAAGCACACACAGCCCCTGGGCAGTCCTGCACTGCAGGGCAAGGCCAGGCCCTGGCAGGCAGCACCCCCGAACTCCCCTGGTGCCCCCTGAGCAGGCAGAGCTGGCCTGGCCTGGCCCGGCCCGGGGGTGCAGGACTGTCCTGCTCCAGTAGAGCAAGCCCTGGTTAAATTCCCCAGGTATGCATTGCCTCGGCCAGGGAGAGAGCAGGGACAGACCCCAACTGGGGTGGGGGGGGCACAGAGCAGGGGGGCACTGCCCCATGGTGCTCCAGCTGCACCCACACTGACCGAGGGGACAGGGGCAGGGAATGCTCTCTCCCGGACCACAATGCATACATTGGAAAGGAGGGAGGAAAGGGAGAGAAGAGGAGTATATACCTTCGAGAACTGTCAACCATGCAGAGTGATGGGAGATCCCAATAGAATTACCCGCCAAACATGTATACTCCCCAGCATCCTCAAATGAGACATTCCTTAAGTGAAGGACTTCCATTTCTTTGTCTGTCGTGTTAACGCCAGCCGTCTGGAAGGAAAAATGGAAGCAAAAAACGGAGAAGCAAACGACATGAGATCTTCTGGGAGGAGGCCAGAGAGGAGGGAGAGCCCAGTCTCATTTGCCAGACCCCCGGGGAGCAGACAGACCACTGCAGACCTGCTAGAGAGACCCTCGGGATGACCACTCATCCCGGCCGACCTAGGGAGATGCTGGTTAAAAATCCCTTCACCAAACGGAGCCTCCTGCCCATCCGAACATGCTGGCGATGGGCTGCATGGAGAAATCAGCCCGGGCAGAGCTGGCTGGCTCAGTGACACAGGGAGGGACAGGGACAGGGCTGGGAGCACGGAGATGGAAGGATGGAGACGAGAGAACGGGGATGGGAGCACAGAGAAAAGACAGAGACGAGAGGATGGTGACAGGATGGAGATGGGAGGGCAGCACAGACAGGGGATGCAGCACTGTGCCAGTCTGGGGTGCCTGGACCGATGGCAGCACCCTCAGAGACCCAGCAGGTACCTGGGCAGCTCTGGTGCCTGCATGATGGGGAGGGCAGCACACAGGACAGACAGCAGGACACGAGACACGAGCACACAGGACAGGCACTGGGACACACACACAGAGCACAGCCGGCCCCGCCGGGTATTTTTCCATGGTTGTTGCACCAGAAACAGCAGAAACAAGAGAGCCCAGAGTTTTGTTTTCCACCGCCAGGCATTCTTCCTTTACCTGTGGCCAGGGGCCTGGTGACTGTGAGCCACGCAGACTGGTTGGCCTCGCCAATATAATTGGAAACCTTACAAACATACTCCCCGCTCTCGGCCTCTGTCACATTATACAGGGTCAGCACCTCCGCATCAGAGCTATTAATCCCCGAGTGCTGGAACAGACCAACGACATGGAGTCACACGGATGGACGTGCCCAGGAACCGCAGTGCCCCCAGGGCTGGCATCGCTCTGCCAGCGCAGGGGCGGCTCCCCCCACACCCCCGGCTGGGTGCGAGGGGTGCGGCTGCACACAGGAGTCACAGCAGGAAGGAGCAGGCAGGAATGGAGGGGTAACCCTGCTCCCCTCTGCTCCCCACAGGTCAGGAGCACAGCTGGGGATGGCTGCACGGCATCACAGAACGGGCTGGGATCTTTAAAGGCCACCCAGCCTGACCTCCTGCCACAGCCGGACCAGTGGCCAGTGTGCCCGCTGAGTGGCACTGCTGGGGTGCAGAGGGAGCTGCTCTCACTGGGACGATCCAGAGCTCAGCTCCCAGCTCCAGGGCTGTGCTCGCTGCCCAGGACTGCCCACCCAGCCCTGGGGTGAGTGCCCTTAGGGCTCTGAAGGGACTGCAGAGCCAGCACAGTGTGGCACACGGCTGGCACACCACAGCCCTCCCTGCTCCCTGCCCAGCAGGCTGCTGGTGGCTCTGGGGCTCCAGCTGTCACCGGGCCGGTGGTCCCCAGCCCCAGGTGACTCTTCTGGCCCATCCCCGTGGCTGCCAGTGCCCTGTCCTGCCCCAGGCACAGGGAAGCCAGGGCCATGGCTGGGTCCAGAGCGTGGCTTTACCTTCAGGATCTGCACGTAGGGCAGGTTGTCCGGGCCGATCTTGCTGCCGTTCACCTCGATGTGCTTCAGCCACTGGATGTGGGGCTGAGGGTCGCTGTAGACCTTGCACACAAACTCCACGTTGCTGCCCAGGGCCACTGTCTTGTTGGCAGGCAGCCCTGCCTGCAGGATGGGCCGGTGCGGGGAGCGCTCTGCGGGACCAGGACACGGGGCACCTCACACCGGGGTTTGGGGTGCCCTGGGGCCCATCCTGGGGTGCACCCTGCAGCCCCCATGCCCAGGACCCCTGGCTGAGGTGGCCCCAACGCAGCATTAGTGTCCCCTTCCCCAGGAGCCTGCCTGCAATGGGATTAGAGCATCCAGGATGGGGGACAGGTGAAACCCTGGTGAGGGGACAGGGACATCAGCACCTACTGGGCAGGGTCAGAGGTCAAACAAACCTAGGGAGGGCCCTGGTCCTTAACAAAGTGGCTGCCACTGTGGTGAGTCAGCATTAACAAACCCCTTTGTTCACCTCTCTGACTGTTCCCTTCAGTTTGCTCAGTGTAATCAAATTAAATCACATTTTTAATGGTTCATTTACTGGCATTTAGAGCAGCTCCACATGTGGAACTGCTCAGACCAGCCTTCCCAGCTGGGAATTATGGCTAATAAGGCGATTAGAAAAAGTTTCTGTCTGGTCTATGAAATTATTTTCGCCACAATTAAAAATCCCCAGAACAGGGTGGGGTGAATGTTCCGCCTGGCTGGCTCCTTGCCTGCTGTGCTGCAGACGAGAACACTGGCCACGGGGATGGGAGGTGGCCACGGGGATGGGAGGTGGCCACGGGGATGGTGGGCGAGCCCCTTCCTTGGGAGCACCCATCTCACAGGGTGCAGCACCCAGCCCTGCCTGGGAAGGTTGAGGGGATGGGGAGGGGGCTGAGCCCCCAGCCCTGTGCTGCTCACCCACGACATCCAGCTGGTAGGTGTGGTTGATGCTGCCGTACTTGTTCTCCACGATGCAGGTGTAGTTGCCCTTATCAGACGGCACCACCGAGTCCATGATGATGCTCCAGGTTGCCTGGCGGACCTGGGGGCAGGGGGAGCACAGAGCCAGTTACGTGCAGCACACACGAGCCCAGGTCCTGCTCCTGTCAGGGCTGGTTCAACCCCTGGCACAGGCAGCACATAAATCTCCCTTTGAGGTCACCTTTCCCTTCCCTTCAGAGGGGCTGTAATTGCTCCCAGCTGTCCCAGGAGGGACACGGAGCCAACTGTGCAGCAGATGTTGTCAGCCTCGCCTGGTGTGTGGGGACACCCCTCTGGTGGCCCCTGTGTGGGGAGGGAACACACCAGCACTGCTCCTCCTGCAAGGGCAGCCTCCCCTGGGGCAGCTGGTCCTGGGGTTCAGAGCCCCACTGCTCCCCATGGCCAGTGCTGGTCAGTGGCCAGGGCCAGCCTGGGTGTCCTGCACCCCATGCATCTCTGGACAGCCTCAGGGGCTCTGCTGGGAATGTCACTGCCCAGGTCCCTCTGGCCACAGGGCACCAGGAGGCTCTCCAAAAGCCAGCCCTGTCACTGCTGGCTCCAGCTGTGGCCTCTCATGGCAAACCCTCTTTGAGCCCTGCTCACGATTGCATTCCTCCCTCCCAGCTGATGCCCAGGTGGCATCTGCAGCCTGGCTCCTGACCCCTCTCCTTGCCCGGGCCCCTCTCCTTGCTGGGGGATTAGGCAGAGGTGGCCAGGCCAGGCTGGCTCCTCCTGGCTCCTCGGCACAAGCCCCCTCCCCCCAGGCTGAGCTGGTACAAACATGACCCAGAAGCAGGTCACGGCTGGAGGGCAGCCACAGGGGCCCATCTGCCCTGCTGGGGTGCCTGGCTGGGGGCTTGGTGCCTCTCCAGCCACAGAGCCCCTTGCCAGCCCTCCCCAGAGCCCCAGCCCCGTACCTTGTACCCCCCGATGCGATGGTCAGGTTTGAACTCTTTGCCGTTCTTCAGCCAGCGCAGCGTGGGGTTGGGTGTCCCACTCGAGGGACATTTGAATTTCACTGTTTTGGCAGCAGGGACAGCGTGGAGCTTCTTCTCCATCTTCTCAGGATAGGTCCAGTATGGAGCGATGGCCTCTGGGGAGCAGAGGGAGGGCTCAGCACGGCCGAACCCCGCAGCCTCCAGCTCCTGGAGTGACCCCAAGCGTGCCCAGAGCAGGGCTGAGGCAGCCACCAGAGGGATGGCAGCAGCCGAGCCTGGCTGAAGCAGGGAGGACAGCTCTGGGACACAGGGCACTGCCCACGAGTCACAGCAGCCCCTCCTTGTGGGGTGCATGCTCAGCTCACAGGGCTGACCCCAATGCAGCCGTGCTAGCACACCCCGTGCTCTGACCCTGCTGCTTCACCCCCTGCACCCAGACCTGCTCTCCCCACTGTGCCCTGGGCACTGCCAGGAGCCCTGGGCCACCTGCCCCAGCCCTGGGTGTGCCCAGCCTCCCCCTGCCTGGCCACAGGGCAGCACCCAGGGGCAAACCCAGAACTTACGGTTCGGCTTGGTGTTATCTGCCTCCTTCTCCTCCGATGAGGAATCATCTTCATCATCATCATCCTCTGCAGAGGGGAGAGCATCTGCAAGAGAAGGGACAGCCCAGCTGAGCACCTGAGTGTGAGGGGACCTTTGTGGATGGCATGGGTGGGTGGTGGGGGCTGTGCCCAGTGGGGTGGGAGCGCAGGGCTGTGCTGATGCTTGGCAGGGGCTTTGGGGCCCCAGGGAAATGCTCTGCACAATCCCCAGCACAGCCAGGGGTTTTGGGATCCCGGGGAAATGCTCTGCACAATCCCCAGCACATCCAGGGCTGGCAGAGCCCAGTGCCTGCAGCCATGGACATCCAGATTTGCTGTCCCAGGTGTTTTCGGAGCTCCTCACCCCATGTCTGGTGCCACCAACACCCCGGGGGTGGCAGCCAGGATCCCCCAAACACAGACACGTCCTCAGCTCGAGCCTTCCTCCCTCTCCAGGCTCACACTCATCACCACCAATGCAGAGCCCCCTCCTGGGGCAGCCCTGCAGGTAAACCTGAGATCATTTCCGGCTGCTCCTCCTGCACAGCAGCAGCCAGGAGGGCAAAGAACCACAGTGGACACTGCTCTGGGCAAGCTGCAGGTGGGCCTGAACTCCCCACGCGTGGCCACTGTGTGTGCACAGGTGTGCCCGGGTGTGCAGGGGTGTAGAGAGGTATGCCCAGGTGTGCAGGGGGGTGTCCAGGTGTGCCTAGGTGTGCAGGGGTGTGCACAGAGGTGCAGGGGTGTGCAGAGGTGTGCCCAGGTGTGCAGGGGTGTGCACAGGGGTGCCCAGGTGTGCAGAGGTGCACAGATGTGTTCACAGGTGTGCAGGGGCAGCCTGCTCCTCTCTTCACAGCCCGGCCCCGTGGCTGCCTGTTCCCTGCACAGGCTGTTACACACCTGAGATGTTCACACTGAAGTAGGTGGTCTCGCTGCCCGAGGGGCTGTTGGTCATGCAGGCGTAGAGCCCCGAGTCCTGGGGCACCACGTCCCTGAGCTCCACCTCCTCGCCGGTGATGCGGGTGCGGTTGTTCTCGGCCAGCTGGATGCCATCCCGCACCCAGTTGATGCTCTGCACGTCATCCCGCAGCCGGCAGCGCAGCTGGAGCAGCTCGCCGGGGTGGGCTGAGTAGGACTCCACTTCGATTTTTGCTTTGGGCAGAGCTGGAGGAGTTAGGGGAGAGAAGAAGAGAAAAAAAGGAGAAAAGAAATAGAGACCAAAGAAAAACCATGCAGCTGTGGCCTGGTTAATGAGGCAACATGCACTGCTGGAATGCTCCTACTGCTGAGATATTCCCACTGCTGAGATATTCCCATTGCTGGGATATTCCCTCTGCTGGGATATTCCCTCTGCTGGGATATTCCCACTGCTGGGATGTTTCCATTGCTAGGATATTCCCCCTGCTGGGATATTCCCTCTGCAGCACAGGGACCCAGCACGCAGGGGATGGAGCCTGCAGCAGCAGCAGAGCAGAGGAGAGGCAGAGGCAGAGGCTGCGAGCACCCCAAGCAGCCCCAGGTGCTTCCCTGCACAGCAGGACCTGCTCCGTGCCTGGGCAGCTCCAAAGCCCTCGCCCTTCTCGGCTCTTATGGAGCGTGACAGGGCAGGGGCTCCCGAATGGGGGAGAAACTCGTGACAACTCAGTGCTGCTGCCGTGGCAGGATCCAGCCTCTCCCAGGAGCATCCCAAAGCCCTGCACGGCTCTGCTGCCTCGCAGGGCTCTCAGGATCCCCACCACCACAAGCGGGTAGCCAGCAAAGCGGGCCAGGGTCCCCGTGTCCCCAGGACCCCGCCCTGGTTAGAGCACGGCGCTGCAGGGAGGAGAGGGCAGGGGCTGGGGCTGCGGCAGGACAGCAGGCAGGGAGTGAGGGGGGACAGGGCAGCCCAGGGAGCTCTGGACACACAGGGTCATGGGACACACGGCCATGGTGTTCCCATCCTCAGCATTCCCGGGCAGGGGAGCTGAGCTCCCCGAGGTGAAGCTTGTGTGAGCAGCACAAGGATCCTTTCTCTCCATCCTGCTGTGACACAATCTCATCTCTCCCAGCCCTGAAGTCTCCAGCGCTCTCTCCTCAAGTCCTGCCCTCCATGGTGGGTGGTGCATGAGCAGCTCTCCTGGTCCCAGGCTTGGGGAAGATGCTGCGTTTCAAATCACCTCTTCAAATCCCACAGCCCAAGGAAGGGTCCGGGCTGCTCCGACTCTGCAGAGGCTCCCGGTGATGATGTGGGTGGATGCAGTGTGATCATCATCCCAGACTGAGCTCTACAGGTTGGTGGGCACAGCTCCAGAGCCCAACTCTTCAGGCACCCCTTGGCCTCTGTCTCCTCCCCTGTAACGTGTGTCCAGCTGTTCCTGGCCAGCTGGATGCCAGTGGGATGCTGTGGGAGCAGCACAAAGGGACACAGGGCACTGCTGCAGATGCTGCTCTCAGGGGCAAGAGACTGTGCTGGAAAATCCCAATAAATGCAGCAGAACAGCCAGGAGATGTTCAAGCTTCAGCTGATCCGTAGCTCCAGGGCTGAGCACCCCAGGATTTCTGGGTGCCCAATGAGCCAGACAAGAACAAACTCTGCTCCCCCCTCTGAACAGCCACAGAGAGCTCGCCCTGGGCCAGTGGCTGTAGAGTGGCCCAGGGTCTCTACTGGCACAAAGCACCCCAGAGAGGAGCCAGGACCAGCAGCAAGGCCTCACACCTCCCTGCTCTCCCTGCACCCAACAGCCACTCTGTCCAGCCAGAAATGAAACCTCGGCTCTCCAGAACTCTGATTGACTGCACCGTGACCTGCACTTCACTTTTTGGCCACTTCTCTTTGCCTTGGACTGATGAGAAGCTTCATGGGAAAAACATTCATGAGCAGCTCCAGAGTTTCTCCTCTTTCTTTTGCTCAGCACTTGAAGGAAAACAATGGGATGGGAAAGAATTCCCTTTCCTCGGTTGCTGTAGTTCCAATGTCAGGGCTCCAGTTCATCCATGAGAGGTTACAAAACATTTTAATGTAGAAGGAGAAGACCAATGGGAGCCCCTTTGGTGGTGGGGAAGGGTCTTGCTTTGCAATTCTGTTTTGCCTTGATTTTCTCCCACAGGACGGGCACTTCTCACAGCTCTGATTTGTGTTTCAAGTGATTAGTCACAGGCATCTCTGCAGGCTCACAAAGCAGCAGTGACATCCCATCCTGTCCATCTGCACACCCCAGGCTGGGTAACGCCACCTCCTCCTGCCTGTCCCCACTCCCTCCTCACTCAGAGCAAGGTCAGTGGGCAACAAACAGCCCTGAAAACCCAAACCAGCACGAATCCAGGGCTGCAGCCACATCTGCCCTTATCTGGCTCCCAGCTCTGCCCCTTCCCACGCATCAGCAGAGTTCCCTATGGAACTGAACCACCCTGCAGGAAAACCTCGAGCTCCCCCAGCACCCCACGCTGCACCTGCAGAATGTGAAGAGGCAGCCGGGGCACGGAGAAGGGGAAATTTCAGGGGACCCCAGCCTGATGGCAGGGCTTGAGGAGGCAGAATTCCAGGTTCAGGAGGGTCCCTTCCCAATGGGCACAGGTCCCTGGGTACACTGTGCAGGTGCCACTGCTTCTGCAGACCCTTGGGCAGGGGGCCAGATCCCCTCTCAAAGCTGCCAGCCCCCTCCTCCAGCCCCCCTGAGCCAGGGGCTGGTTTGCCACAACAGCAGGACTGGGAGGCACGGAGGTGTTGAGGTGATGGAGGCAGAGGGCACGGTGCCCTTCGGTCACCCATGGCACTCCTCTGGCACTTGGGACGAGGCAGAAAGCGCAGCCTGGAGGGAACGGCCTGAGAAGGAATGCACAGGCTAATGAGCATGTCCAGGTTTGCTCAGTGCTTGAGCTGCACTGTGGCCCGGCAGGCAGAGAGCTCTGTGGCTGCTGGGATGGCACAGATGGCACCGGGGGCACTGAGAGCTGCTGGTGGCACTGGTGTGGTTAATGATTGCTGGACTCATTACCCTGATACCTCCCTGTACCTTAAACCACAGCACCGGCTGCAGCCTCCCAACAAAAACTCACGGCAGAACCCCCCCAGCACAGCCCCCGGCTGGCTGCTCCCCATGGCCCACATGGGCCACCTCCCCAAAGATTAACCAGCCACACAAACACGTGGCTCTCACCCCCAGGGCTCCGGGTGCCCCCAGCACTGCACAAAGGGAGTCCTCACCTGAGCTGGAGCTGTGGGGTTGGTCACAGCCCCTTTGAGCACACAAAGGGGTGACAGCAAGGAGAGCACAGGAACACCAGTCCCACAGGGGAGTGTCCTGTCCCCGGGGACAGGAGGGCTCACGCCCATGGGGAGCCCCAAGGTCCCCAGTGAGGCAAGGAGCAGCTCCAGCCGATGGTGCCTCCGTGAGCACCCCAGAAGGCACGCAGTGCCCTGGCCGGGGTTTATTACTCTATTCCAGCTTTGAAATGAACCGAGAGCAGAGCCCAGATGGAGAGTGTCACCAAGTGCACAGAACTGTCACCAGGGCCAGCCCCGTCGGGGACACTGGGGCAGGGACACGGGGCAGCCCTGCAGACAGGACCTGCACGTGTCCACTGTGCCCCCCAGGCTGGGCACACGCAGCGGGGAGCCCGGGTGCACCCTCCGAGCGGGGACAGCCACAGGCTGCGCTGGCCATGGCTGTGCTGGCCATGGCGATGGTGACGATGGCAATAAAGGGGCCAACAAAGCGGCGCGGGGACAATGCGGGCGGGGGGCGCGGAGCCGCAGGCGCCGGTTGCCCTGGAGACCCCAGCGGGGCTTTCCGAAGGTATTTCCTGAAGAAAAAGCACACACATGCCCGGCAGCCCCACTAATCCCAACAGGAAGCGCTCACCGGGACGTGGGGATTGGCTTCTTTTTGATTTAAAAAGCTCCTCACCCTGCCGTGTCCCCCCAGCCCGGGCCGTGCCGGGGGCATGGCCCGAGGGGCGACATCCCGGCACCCCAGCGGCTCCAGAGCCGGGAACATCCCTGGATCCATGCTCCGGGGAAAGCATCAGCAGGGAGATGCCAACATGAGCATCACGGGCTCAAGGCACACTCTTGGCACCCCCAGCTCCTCCTGCCCGAGCCAGCCCGGGGGGCTGCGGGCTCCCCCGAACCCAGCGGGCTCCCCCGAACCCTCGGTCCCGGGATTTTTCCTCCGTAGGGACAGGGGATTGATGTCCCGCTCCAGGCTCTCCCGCTCTCCCAGCCTGTGCTGCAAATGAAGCAGCACTTAATTAACAGGCGTGTTGGGAGTTTGCAAAGCTGTCAGGATAAACCCACCCCTTTCCCTGGGCCCCCCTGGCCGTGCTCGGGGCTCCGCAGCAGCTCAGAGCCCTGGAGGCACGGACCCCTCCCCATGGGCTCCCCCCGGGCACGGCACACACGGGGGGCACAGGAGACACAAGACCCCAATGCGCACGGGTTCTGGCTTTGCCTTGCCCTGGCTCACTGCTGGAACCGAGTGCCCATCCCTCTGCTCACCTCCCTCCTGCACAGCCCCAGTGCTGCACACGGGATGCTCCACACCCCACAGACCCTCGGGGACCCTTCTGCTCTCCCGGGACAGCTCCACAGCCCAGGCTCCGCCAGAGTACGGCTGCTTTCCCAAAAGACTGGCTGTTTTCCCCAAAGACTCGTATTTCTTTTTTTCCTCCTCAATTAAGGGCCGGAGTGACAGCATCCGAGTGGGAAGGCGGGAGGACGGAACAATGCCGGCCAGGCTGGGAGGGGACAGCCCTGGAGGACACAGCCATGTCTCACAGCAGTGGGGTCTGGGGGTGCTGCTGGGCCCCCGGAGCTCCAGGAACACTCCTGGGCTGCTGCCATCAACAGCAGAGGAGCAGGAGGCTGCAGGCTTGGCAGGGAATCCCTGAGCTGCTTGTGGGGCTCCAGCAAGGAGGCAGCTACTCCAAATGGGATCCCCTGGGGCTCCCCGAGGCACTGGCAGGACTGGCTAGGTTTTGGGACACACCTAGAGCTGAAAAATCAAGGAGGGACTGGACAGCAGGGAAATGGGGAGGGGGACAGAGCCGAGGGTCAGCAGTGCCCTGGGGAGCAGTGGGGACAAGCCAAAGACCCTCGTGGTGCTGCCTGCAGGGATGCTGGGATCCCCCAAGCTCCCCGGGCTGGACACATTGCCTGCCCGGACTTCTGGCTCCCACAGGGTGCAGAGCAAGACCCCCTGGACGAGCAGGGGACAACAAAGCCCCGGGAGCCAGGGCCCCTGCAGATGGCCAGGGAGGGGGGGTTAAGCCTGTGGCCAGCTGGGCAACTCTGGGAAATGGGGCAGCCCTGGGCCCCTGCCCCATGGGGAGGGGGCTGCAGCCAAACCCCCCGTGCTCTGGAGTGCAAACACACCCCCGGGGAGGCATCTGCTGCCCTGGGGGTGTTTGGGGCTCAGAGTGTCCCAAAACCAGCTGCCCAAGGCAGGACCCTCCTGCCCCAGGACACGGCTCCCCACGAAAATCTGCTCAGCCACTCGGCACCCCTGTAGGGCCAGGGCAGCCCCTGTGAGGAGATGCCTGAGCAGCGCCTGGGACAATGGCAGACAAGGAGAGAGGGAAAAAAAACCTTGGCAATTTTCTGCAGGTTTCTATTTAACCTGGAGACAAAGAGCGGCTTTGTGCGAGGGAGGGACAGAGGCTGCGCATGGAAATTTCTTGGCTTTTCCCCTTAACCAGGGTTTTTTCACCACCTCCAAATTTAGGTAACTATAAAATGCAGTAAGTGCCTGTTAATATTTTATTTGCTCCAGATTTTTTGGTACTGGGAGGGAGCCTCTGACAAGCAGAGCTCCCTCCCACACCACAAGGAGAGGGGGGCCAGAGCTGAACCCCCCTCCACACGAGGCCAGGCCACTGACCGGCCGCGGGGGATTACTCCTCCCTGAGAAGGGAGCTTAGCTGCCTCAGAACCGGGAGTAAACTGAAACCCCATAAACATCCAGAACAAAGTCCGGGAAAGCTGCTGCCTCCAGCACGGAAGGGACCGAGCACGGCTGCCCCCAGGGTGATGGGGGGACACTCCTGAATCAGGGGGAAGGACAGAGACCTTGGCCCCCAGGGTGATGGGGGGACACTCCTGAATCAGGGGGAAGGACAGAGACCTTGGCCCCCAGGACACGATGGCCTCAGCATGGCAGCTGAACCTCACTCACACCCCACGGGATCCCAAAACCCCTGGGTCCAGGTCGGAGCCTGCCCCTGAGAGATGCTGGTGGCTCAGCCCTGGCTGCAGGTCCTGGCCCAGCGCTGGCTCTTCCCATCCCACACGTCCTGCTGGGAACATTTTGTTCCCACCAGTCGGTTCCCGAGCCAAGGGACGGATTCTGCCCCAGCCGGGCTCCTGCTGTGGCACTAATTGGGCTGCCCTGGTGAGAACCGTGTCGGAAAATGTTTCCAGAGGTTATTGTTAGCCCTGGCATGAGGCTGGCGAGGAACCAGCTCCCTCCTCTCCAGCCTCTCCTCCTCCACTGCCACCGCCTGACGCTGCTCCCAAACCCTCCAGGGGCTGCAGAGCTCCTCACACACCCCAAAATTCACCTGTGCTCAGTCAGCTCCCTCAGCCTGAACACCCCAACACCTTTCTCAGCGCCACAGCCGGGGTTGGGGCTGCAGGTGCTGCTCTCCTGGCAGCACAGAGCCATCCCCAAACGCTGCCAGGAAACCTCTTCCAGGAAGAGCAATCTCCCGAGAAAAACATGTTTACCACTGTCAACCGCATTGTTTACAGATGCGGGGAGCAGGCACGCCAGTGGAAAAATCTCAGCAATGTTTCCTGTGAGTGCAGCTCTGCCCGGGCTCCTCTCCGGAGCTGCAGCTCCCCAGGGACCACGCATGTCCTGGGGTGTCACCTCACCCTGTGACCAGGGTACCTGCGGGGCACTTCCAGTCAGAGGTGCCAACCCTGGCAGCCAACAGCATCACCCAGGCATCTCCCAGGGGTCACCCGCCACCAGCTGCCACCCCCAGCCCTGAGGGGACCCCGGGGCACCAAATAGCCCCGAGCCCATGCTGGCCACACCAGCGATCTGCCTCTCAGGGCTCTGCTGGGAGGAAGGGGGAAGGGGGAGCGAGTCTTAAACAGCAAAGCAGTGCCCACAGCCCAGACATTCTTGGGTAATTAGAACCAAAAGGAGTCGGAGCCCCGCGCGCCGTTGCTGGCTCTGGTTTTTCTCTGCCTCGCCGAGGGCCAAGGCTCTGACGTGCCCCAGCACGGCTCTCTGCCAGTGCTGGCTCTGCCCAGGGCCAGGCGACCCACTTGGCCCATCCCTGAGCCTTGGGGTGCCCTCACCGGAGCCAGGAGCACCCCTGGCCACTGCCACCAGCCCTGCACTGCTGCTGGGGGACAGTGATAACAAGGGAGGGATGTGCTGGTCAGGGCTGTGCTCCCCAGACCCAGGGGAGCAGAGATTGGGACAAATTGCACAAATCACCTGAGCCAGACCTGGCTTTGAGCCCCCACCTTGGGCATTCCCAGCTGGGAGCAGCACTGGAGCATCCCGAGGGTTTCTGTGGGGTGCATCCATCCCTGGCACTGCCAGCTGGCAGGAGCTGAACCAGTGCCCTGCACCCAAACCTTCATCCCCACCAGCTGAGCCCAGGATCACCCCAGTGGGGCCAAGCCTCACACACATCCTGAGTCATAGATCATCAAGTGCTGTCCGCAGGGGACACAGCCCCCAGGGCTCTGTATCCTCCTCCAAGCCAACAGGTCAGGGTTTGTCACAATTTTTCTCCAGGTTTAAAATGTCCCCAGGCACTGCTGGAGCCACATACCCAGTTTTGTGCTCACACAAACCACTCTGGGGACAACGTGTGCCACGTCCCCAGCTCCCAAGCAGCAGGGTGACAACACAGGTGGCACCACGTGCTGGTGGCCCCAGGGCTGGAGCACACACCAGCCTGTGCTGCAGGGAAGAGCAGCTCGTGCTGTCAAGAGGAACACTAAGGACAAGGAGTGGCCACACCGGGCTGTGCTCTTACCTTGGTCGGGCAGGGTGGGGGCCGGCCGGGCAGCGGAGAGCGCGGCTGCGACCAGCACAGCCCAAAGGATGAGGCACCGCCAGGTAAACATCCCACTGCTGCAGCTACTGCTCCGCGACTGGGCTCGGCAACTCCCACTCCATGGGGGCCCCGGGCGGGCACGGGGGGGTCTCCGCAGGGCTGGCAGCCCCTACAAGCTGTGGAGGGGGAAAGCAGAGTCAGGGCAGGGCCAGCTCCTCACATCCCACCACCCAGCACGGCTGCTCTTGCTGTCACTGGCGATGCTCCTCCCGCATCCAGCCCAGCAGGATGACATCCCTGGATCCAGGGATGTCCCCAGACTGTGGTGGCAGATCTCCACAGATCCCTGGGCAGCCAGACACGACCTGGCACTGACTGGCAGAGTTATGTTTCCCTGTGTAAAAGCGCTGATGTGTCAAGAGTGAAACCGCTGGCGAAGCAGAACCAAATGCAGCAAGATCTCCCAGAATGGTGAGAGAAACATTAACGTCAGTTAAAGAAAGGGAGATTCCTGCTCTCCTCTTCTTTGTCAGGTGTTGCTGACCACAGCTTCACTGAGGGAAATCCCTTACCCAGAGCAAAATCTGATGTTGTCTGTCCCACCCCTAGCAAAGCAGCTCTCACTGCAAACTCCAGCCCCCTCCATCCCTAGGGGATCTACAGGGCACCCCCATGGAGAGGCCTTCCTGGAGCCAGAGGGTCAGCCAGCTGCAGCCCATCTCCTTCCACCAACAGCTGTTTGTGAAGTGGCTGTGTGGGGAGAAATCCCCCGGCATCCACGGCCAATTCTGCAGCTCGCTCTCGTCCCTGCCAGCTCTCACGCTGGGCTCTCCAGCACACCCATCCCCTCAGGTCCCCATCCCTTCCCAGGGGACTGATCCATGCAGTCTGGAGCTGGGTTCTGGTACAGGGAGGCCCAGCAGAGCCTGATCCTGTCTCAGGATGCTGAGGGGATGTGCCCTCCATGGCCCTCATCCCTCCTTCCCTCTGACCATCCCTCCCTCTCTCCGTGCCAGGAGCATGGAACTCTTCCAAGACACGTTCCAGGGGAACGCTGGAGCCCGAACCCAGCCGCCCCCAGCCAACTGCTCCGAGCCGTGTGGATGGGAACCAGCCCCGTGCTCCACCCCCGCACAGCCACATCTGCACCTCGGCAGCAGCCGGGATGAGGTCCCGGCTCTGGCCATGGCTGTGCTCCCGCCGGGCTGAGATCCTGCCCAGCCATTGCACAACCCCGGCCAGGGAGCTCCGCCGCAATCACAAGGACCAGGAGGGGACAGGACACCACCACCCCCCAGACCCTTCCCCAGGGCAGCTCCCGGGGCACAGCTGTGCCTCCAGACACAGCCCCTGCCGAGCATCCCAAGCTCACCCGGCTCCTGTCCCGCTGCTGCTCCCAACCTGCCGCGGGATCAGGCGCTTCCCCTCGCCCAAAGGCGTCAGCCTGATGTACACACTGTTAAAAACAGTGAGTAATAATCGTAGTGAGTAATAAATGTGATGCTACTCATCCTCCCCACGCACTCCATCCATGGAGCTCCGGCCTCTGCCTTTCCCACTCCGGTGTGAGACCTGTTCTCCCTGTGCCCGCAGTGGGGCTTTTCCCCAGGGATGGGCTGAGCAGCCACAAGCCCCAAAGGGCTCAGATCCTCCAAGGAGCCTCTGCACCCAAAGGGAGCCCAGCTGGGCTGTAGCTGTGGGGGCTCCAGCTGCCTCCTTCCTGCCCAACTGCTCTGGCTAGCACAGGAATATTTGGGACCCAAACTATTGACACAAGGAGTGGGGCAGGGAAAAGGGCACCCAGCAAACACTGGTGTTATCTCCAACACCAGCGCTTCCAGGCACTGGGCAGTGCTTGGAAATAGTTATTGAGTGTTCAGGATTTATCAGGGTTTGGAAAGGGGAGGTGGAATTCTTTGAGGGGGGGTAAAAAAAAAAAGTCTTTGGTATTTCTGGAAATTATTTTCTGTCTCTCCGTGGCTTTGTTTATCGACAGCACATGCTCCCCGGAACATGCCCTAATGCGGAGCGTCTGCGTGGGCCTCCCGAGCCGGCCCCGCGCCGAGGGGAGGGATGGAGGGAAGGAGGGAAGGAGGGATGGAGGGGAGCCCAGTGCCTCCAGTTCCTGAAAAATGAGTCAGTGCTGGCTCGTGCACAGCAGAGCCCTTCTCCAGATACACCTCGGAGCGGGCGCCTTCCAGCTGATTCAGGGGCCTGACAGCAGGATATTTCCATGGCGTAGGGATGGCTCGGCAGCACAGAGCTGTCCCGTGGCTGAGGGGGTCACTGGGAGAGAGGGAGGGACAGCGGGAAGCGTGCCAGGACCCAGCAAGAGCACAAAGACACGGCCGCTTCCCAGGGCAGTGAGGGAGGGTGCAGCAGCCTGGCTTTGCTGGAGGGCAGCAGGACGGGGACACGTCCTGCCTGCTCCTTCTGGACAGGTTCAGCAGCACCCGAGGGAATCTCAGTGCTCAGAGATGCTGAAGAGGTAGCACAGACCTCTTCCTCTATCCCAAGGGAAAAGGGGAGACTGGGGAACCCCAAGACATCTGCCCTCATGACTCCTTGGTGTCCACACGGGAAGGAGGCAAGGAAGTGGGGAGAGAGCTCCTACCTGTGCAAACAACAGCATGGCTCTTCTCCGTGTTTATCCAGCTTTTATAGAAATCCCAACAGGAAACCATTTGCTGTGGAGGATGGCAGCTTGGGCAGGGTGGGTCTCTGGCTCCTGCCGGGCTCTGGGCACCATCCCCACTCCCCGTGGCCCCAGCACACTGCAATTTACTGCTCCGGGGTGGATTCAAACAACTAAAAACGGAAGCAGTTAGAGAGGAGCCAGGGCCAAGTGCCCCTCGGAGACCTGCCTCCAGAACTGCAATTACCACCAGCCATTACACCCACGGAGCTATTTTGGAGTGGGGATGGACAGCCCTGTGCCCATCCGTGCACCCTCCAGGGGCACACGCTCCGTGTCCCAGGGAAGGTGTTCTCACACTGCCTTTGCACACCAGTATGTCCATGAGAAGTCTTGTCCCCCCCACTGTCCTCAGGGACCCTGAGGGCTGCACTTTCACTCCTCGCATCTCCCACACCCCTGAGTCACAGGGCTGAGCTGTCCCAGGGACGTGGCACAGACAGGACCGGCCCACTTGGACAGCAGATGCACCCCATGGTTCTGAGCTGAGTGGTTCTGAGTGGGGAAGCCCCTTCCTGCCCCGTGGCTCATCTCTGGAATGCATCCGAGGTGCCAAACGCAGGAGCTGGTGCTGGGGAAGGGTGTCCAGGCAGGACTGGAGCCCTGCAGTGCTGTGACATCTGCAGGGGAGCCCCAAAGTGATCCCGGTGTGCCCATGCTGGATGTGATGGGGGGTGGGCTTGGTGGGGCTGGGAGGCTCTGGTTCCTTTCTCTGCCTCCCTGTTGGGGCAGAGATGGCAGAGCAGGCAGGAAAAGAACAGGGACAGGCCAAATCCAACAGGGAGAAGAGTCTGAGTTCAACTCCTGAGTCTGCACAGCATCAGGAGCCTGAGGTGGGCGACTGTGCCCAACCAGGCACGGTCCCTGTCCCTCAGGAGGGGAGGTGGTGTCTGCCAGCAGACCACCCTGCCTGGAACAGATGCCCCCCAGCTCCAAAGCACATGAAAAGAGACTCCTTTTCCTCGGAGGCACAACAAGAGCAGCCCTCCAGCTGCCCTTGGGGAAGAAGGACACGCCAAAGGCACAATCCGTGGGCGACAGGAGCAAAGTCTTTCCCTTGCCCAGTGCTCCGTGCCCCAACCTGTGGCTCAGGTCAAGAACCAAGTATTTGCTGAAATAAAAAGCAAACACAACTGCACATGGAACTGTAGCGAAAAACTGTAATGCTTAAAGCAGACACATGCTTGGAAAAATAAATATCCAACTGTGCAGCACACAGAGCATATTAACCCTTCCCAGCTGGCCGCCAGGACTTAGGGGCTACCAGGGGCTACCACAGCACTGAGCTGCGGGCAGGCATCCACTGGTGGGAGAGCCTGGGACATGGGGCAGAAAGGACAGGGAAAGGCCCAGCCTCACCCACAGATCTCCATAAAACCATCTCAGTTCTAGAAGCATCCTCACACTCAGAGATTCCTCCCTACCCGAAGACTTGATTTTCAGATCTACAGAACAACCATTGGTACCCGAAAATCTGTACTGGGCTGGTCCCCCTGACTGCCTTGGGAGGAGACTGGTCAAGGATAGGGATTGGGACACGGCCACAGCCTGCCATCCCCTGGAAGGGACAGAGACCCATTACCCAGTCTGGGAGGAAGCTGGATGGGATTTTCACTACACTGCACTCCTCCAAGGAAAGCTATCTCGAGGGGAAGGACCCTCCATCATTCCCAGAAGCAGAAGGGCCCCAAAGGGGCAGAAAGTTGGATTTTCAGGGTGGGATGAACATCTATGAGTGGCCACTTCCAGGGGCCAGGACTTGGGGGCCTCCACCCGCTGCTGGAGACAATACAGCTCCTGGCTCAGTTTATGTTTTCAGGTGGGTAAATAAAGAGGGAGCTCCAGCTCACATCTGGAAGTGACCCTTCCCACACGGCCAGGACAGGCACCTCGTGTGCAGAACAGCCCAGACGATGCCGCCCTCACCCCGGCACCACTCGTGCCTGCACCCTGCCGGGGCAGGGGCGATTTATTTTAATCCTCTCGGAGCAACACAAGGAAAAGGCAGCAGTGCATGCCAGCCAGCACAGGGATTAAGGGAGGAAGTGCTCCTGAGTGGGGAAGATGGCTGCTAGCCAGAGCAGGGGGCTGCAGAGCCCGGGCTGCGCGGGGGGGCTGTGCCTGCGCCCCGCTCCTCTGTGCTGGCATCCAGCCTGTCCTGCCGGCACCGGGGACTCCAGCCGGGACAAACCCAGCCCCCCCAGCCGGGACTAACCCCGCTCCCAGCCGGGACTAACCCCCCCTCCACCTGCGCACAGCCCCGGCCGGGACCTGGCAGGCTCCAAGCCCGACTGGGAGCCGCTGGGTTCACTGAACTGTTCGGGTTTAAACATTGCCGGGGAGGGAGCAGCCCCGGCCAGCTGTGAGCCAGGACTCGGGGCAGTAACTCAGCAATCCGGGCACAGAGGGGACGGCGAGGCAGC